TTTTTACTATAATTTGATGTATACAGCATTAAAAGAATGGACACATGAGAATTTTTGCCTAAATAGTATTTGTGATCATTTGAAATTATTTGGTCTTTGGTTTATGGCCATGTGACAATTGAAGCACTAAAGGGAGATGATTTTAAAACACCCAATTTGGGATCCCTGGGTGGCGCAGCGGTTTGGCGCCTGCCTTTGGCCCAGGGCGCGATCCTGGAGACCCGGGATCGAATCCCACGTCGAGCTCCCAGTGCATGGAGCCTGCTTCTCCCTCTGCCTATGCCTATGTCTCTGCCTCTCTCTCTCTCTCTCTCTCCCTGTGTGACTATCATAAATAAATAAATAAATAAATAAATAAATTAAAAAAAAATAAAACACCCAATTTATATGAAAACAATAGCCTTTTAAATAATTTTTATTTATTCATGAGAGAGAGAGAGAGAGAGAGGCAGAGACACAGGCAGAGGGAGAAGAAGGCTCCGTGCAGGAAGTCCGATGTGGGATTCGATCCCGGGACTCCAGGACCACACCCTGGGCCGAAGGCAGACGCCAAACCGCCGAGCTACCCAGGTATCCCTGAAAACAATAGCCTTCTATATGTCTTTCAAAATTTGTTGTTAATGAGTATTTTAAAATTGTACAGATTTCAATTCAGCCTGTTTTCTGGGTATCCCATAAATTTAACTTTGATTACCATTATCAGCATTTGAGTCTACAGTCTTCATAGTAGCATCTCAGAATAAACATCTGTAATTGATTTCAGTGGTAAACACTACCAATTAAGCACAGTGTAGGGTATTATATACTATATTTTACCTTGTTTCAGTATAGCCTGTTGATATTTACAAGGAAAATACTGGATTTATTGATGCTATTTTAGAATTGTAGCTATTTGAATCTTTCAGTTTGAAAAGTATGATAAGTTCAAAGGTTTTGATTTTGGTCTTGTCTTTTTTTTGAGAGGCAGAGACACAGGCAGAGGGAGAAGCAGGCTCCATGCAGGGAGCCCATCCTGGGACTCCATCCCGGATCTCCAGGATCACGCCCTGGACTGAAGGTGGCGCTAAACAGCTGAGCCACCCGTGGTGCCCTTGCTCTTGTCTTTAAAATGAAAAATCAACCAGCATATGTTGATTACACTGTTGTAATGCATAAATTTATATATCACAAAATGATTAAATTGAAAAAAATTAGAATACTCATGTACATACACCGTATCCCTGAACAAATTCCATAATTATTTAAAAATAAATCTTCAAAAAAATAAAAAATAAATCTTCATTATAAAAAAAAAAGAAAGTTTCAACTGCTCTTTAAATTACATGATGAATGTTATTCAAGATTTTGACACATTGCCATAATTCCTTCTTCTGTCCCCACTTTTCCATTTTACCATGAGTATGGGTACATCCTGGGTCAAAAATTTAATATCATTTAGGGATGCCTGGGTGGCTCAGTGGTTGAGCATCTGCCTTTGGCTCAGGTCATGATCTCAAGATCCTGAGATTGAATCCTGCATCAGGCTCCCTGCTGGGGCACCTGCTTCTCCCTCTGCCTATGTCTCTGCCTCTCTCTCTGTTTCTCTCATTTTTTTAAAGATTTATTTATTTTATTTATTCATGATAGACAGACAGAGAGGGAGAGAGAGAGAGAGAGAGAGAGAGAGAGAGAGAGAGAGAGAGAGAGAGAGGCAGAGACACAGGCAGAGGAAGCAGGCTCCATGCAGGGAGCCCGATTCGGACTCGATCCCGGAACTCCAGGATCGCGCCCCGGGACTCCAGGATCGCGCCCCGGGTCAAAGGCAGGCACCAACCGCTAAGCCACCCGAGGATCCCCTGTTTCTCTCATTAATAAATAAATAAAATCAGGGCGTGTGGGTGGCTCAGCGGTTGAACGCCCGCCTTCAGCTCAGGGTGTGATCCTGGAGACCCAGGATCGAATCCCACATCGGGCTCCCTGCATGGAGCCTTCTTCTCCCTCTGCCTGTGTCTCTGCCTGCCTCTCTCTCTCTCTCTCTCTCTCTCTCTCTCTCTCTCTCGTGAATAAATAAATAAAATCTTAAAAAAACCCAACTTGATCTCATTTAATAGATATAAAAAAACAGAGTACTTTGGCCAAACTCATGCCAGTATTTGATTGGTGGCTCAGTCATTTCATCTAATGGGCCATTAAGTCTCACGCCATATCATTATATCAAACACTGGTGGGAACTTTTTTATATCCAGGCTCTCTTGCAGCAATGAATAAGGCGTTACCATACCTGAGTCCCAGTACTTAATTCTATCCTTTTATTTTTTTCTTGATGTCATTAAATCTTTTTCCACGGTTGGGATGCCTGGGTGGCTCAGCAGTTGGGCAACTGCCTTTGGTTCAGGTCGTGATCCCAGGATCCAGGGTTCCTGTGAGGAGCCTGCTTCTCCCTCTGCCTGTGTCTCTGCCTCCATCTCTCTGTGTCTCTCCTGAATAGATAAATCTTTTTTAAAAAAATAAAAATAAATTTTCTTCCATGGTTAATTAAAAAGTTTATCTTTTTTCATTTTTAGCCAGCATTTATGGACTCAAACATTTATGTTAAAAAAATTTTTTTTGGTACCCATGTGACCGAAAGTAACAAGAACATTTTTAGGAAGTGATTTTTTTAAAATATTTTATTTATTTATTTATTTATTTATTTATTTATTTATTTATTTATTTGACAGAGCACTAGAGAGATACAGCAAGCACTAATGGGGGGCAGAGGGAGAGGGAGAAGCAGGTTCCCCACGGAGCAGGGAGCCCAAATCTGGGCTCAATTGCAGGACCCTGGGATCATGAGCCAAAGGCAGATGCTTAACAAACTGAGCCACCCGGGGACCCGCAGGGAGTGATTTTGAGAGTAGATTCTTCTGCATTTGTTCAAGGTGTTTTCTCATCCCTAATTTATTGGCTGACCTTCCCATCTTTGCATATATGTATCCTACTTAATCTTCATGGCCCAACTCAATTGCCCTACATTTATAGAATTTTTTAACACTCCCAGCCTTCTTTATTATTTTTTTCCCAGCCTTCTTTAGAACCTTTGCAGTGCTCTGTGTTATTCTTATGACATTTATCATCTTATATCTTTTGGTATGAATATTTTCTCTATATTGGCTTGATGGCCTTATGAGAAAGGACATTATTTCACAGAGAAGGGCCTTAAAGTATCATAGGTAATTTTTAAAAAGTTTTTATTTATTTTTTCATGAGGGACACAGAGACATATGCAGAGGGGGAAGCAGACTCCAGGGACCATGTGAGACTATTCCAGGCCCCCAGGATCACAACCTGAACTGAAGGCAGACGCTCAACCATGGAGCCACCCAGGCGCCCTTCATAGATAAATTTGATGAAGAAAACAATAATTTTTTAAAAATATTTATTTACTTATTTATGACAGAGATAGAGAGAGAGAGAGGCAGAGACACAGGCAGAGGGAGAAGCAGGCTCCATGCAGGGAGCCCGATGTGGGATTCCATCCTGGGTCTCCAGGATCACACCCTGAGCTGAAGGCGGGCGCTAAACCGCTGAGCCACCCAGGGATCCCCGAAAACAAGAATTTTGGATGTCATTTAACCTCTCAGTACCTTAGTTTCCTCACATATACAATCCTATTTCAGATGATTGTTGTGAAGATGGAATGGGCTAATGTGGGCAGAGTTTTGAAAAGTAAAAAAAAAAAGGGCAGGGATATTTTATTTTTTCTTGCTCATGAATACTTTTACTTGTTCAATAATTTAATTTTCTGTGTGAAGATAAAAGGCTAAATTATTCCAGAAAAGCCACAGATGATCCCAAGAGGTGATGGGTTTTCGGGTTAAGATTTTAAACAGAGTAGTGAGAGGAATGCCACACTATACAAGAGCTATGCTTTGGTGATAGACGTTAATTTGAATCTCGTTTTTGGCAGTTGCTGGACTAGCTTTGTTACCTTGAGTAAGTTATTTAACTTCTGTGACTCTGAGTTTCCTATCTGTAAAATAGGGAAGAGGATACCGCGTTTTGCAGGATAGTGAGAATTAGACATAACGCGCGTGATACACGCTTATTTAAGTGGGAAGAATTATTAATACTTAGGGACTGGGGTTGAAATGTCCCCACATTCGCCCTTTGTCCTGTTGACAATATTTCCATCCTGGTAGTTAAAAGAGTTGTTATAAAGCATGCAAAGCTAGTTTTGTGCCGGAGCCTGCCGCTATTTGTTCAATGAGTTACCAATAAAGTTTTGAATAAAAAAAAAAATCCTGCCACCGTTTCAATAAAGCTTTGCTCAAATGGAGAGCGGGAGCTTATCGCGAGAATCTGGCGGAACGCGTTTCTTGTTCAGGACCTACTCTCGCGTTGTTTAAGCAAGCCGTGGTGAGAGGTGAAAGGGAAGCACGAAATACCGCGAGAGCCCAGGGATTCTCGCGGTATTTCCTGGGATTCCCCCTCCCCCCCCAAGTGCCGTTTCGGTTTAACCTAGTGTGTGACTGAGTCTGTGTGAGGGAGCGAGTGAGTGTGTGAGGTGTTGAGGTGAGGCGGAGGCAAGAAGAGGGGCTCCCTCAGGAGCGAGGGACAAAGAGGGCGTGAGGCACTTAGGCCGCGGGACCCCAGCGACAGGAAGCCGCCCCGAGCCGGGCTACCGGGTAGGGGAAGGGCCCGCGCAGTCTTCACAGGGCCCCAGAGCCGGAGTCGGCCCCACTGCCCAGGGCCGTCGGCTTCCTACTTCCTCGACCTCCCCGGCGCCGGGGCCTGAGGATTGGCTCGGCGGGGGGAGGAGGGGAAACAGACTTGAGCAGCTACCCGTTGTCTCGCAACTCTACTGCTGAGGAACTCTCATTAATTTCCTGGCTCCTTCACCCCCTACCTCATGTAGGAGGGTGCTGAGGAGTCGGGAGGGAGGAGGAGCCTGGGCTACTGTCCCTTCCCTCCCCACCCCCTTCTAGGGGCTCTTTGGTAGGCGTGGGGTTGGGGGGGAGGGTGGGGGTTACTTTTGGGAGTGCTGGGGAACTTTTTCCCCTTTTTGAGGGTAGGGGAAAGGGAATGCCCAATCCAGAGAGACATGGGGGCAAGAAGGACGGGAGTGGAGGAGCTTCTGGAACTTTGCAGCCGTCATCGGGAGGTGGCAGCTCCAACAGCAGAGAGCGTCACCGCTTGGTGTCGAAGCACAAGCGGCATAAATCCAAGCACTCCAAAGACATGGGGTTGGTGACCCCCGAAGCAGCACCTTTGGGTACAATTATCAAACCTCTGGTGGAGTATGATGACATCAGCTCTGATTCAGATACCTTCTCTGACGACATGGCCTTCAAACTAGACAGGAGGGAGAATGATGAACGTCGTGGGACTGATAGGAGTGACCGTCTGCACAAACATCGTCACCACCAGCACAGACGTTCCCGGGACTTACTAAAAACTAAACAAACAGAAAAAGAGAAAAACCAGGAAGTCTCCAGCAAATCGGGATCGATGAAGGACCGGATATCAGGAAGTTCAAAGCGTTCAAATGAGGAGAATGAGGACTATGGGAAGGCACAGATATCCAAAAGCAGCAGCAACAAGGAATCCAGGTCATCCAAACTTCATAAGGAGAAGACACGGAAAGAACGTGAGTTGAAGTCTGGGCACAAAGACCGGAGTAAAAGTCATCGGAAGAGGGAAACACCCAAAAGCTACAAAACAGTAGACAGCCCCAAACGGAGATCCAGGAGTCCCCATAGAAAATGGTCTGACAGCCCCAAGCAAGATGATAGCCCCTCGGGAGCTTCCTATGGCCAAGATTATGACCTTAGTCCCCCAAGATCTCACACCTCTAGCAATTATGACTCCTACAAGAAAAGTCCTGGAAGTACCTCAAGAAGGCAGTCAATTAGCCCTCCTTACAAGGAGCCTTCGGCCTACCAGTCAAGCACCCGGTCACCCAGTCCCTACAGTAGACGACAAAGGTCTGTGAGTCCCTATAGTCGGAGACGTTCTTCCAGCTATGAAAGGAGTGGCTCTTACAGTGGGAGATCACCTAGTCCCTATGGTCGAAGACGGTCTAGCAGCCCTTTCATGAGCAAACGGTCTCTGAGTCGGAGTCCACTCCCCAGGTGAGTTATTTGTCTAACAGCCCTTTCTTACTTAGGCTGGGTCATGAGGAACTGGCAATTAGTCATGTTAACGTTTTGTTGAAGCCCCCAGTCTTCCTCGTTAACTAGAACAATTTGCTATTGACTAGTTATTCAAGTAGTTGAATCTGGTCTTCTCTTAACCCAGAATTTGAGAAGTGGAGAGTTCACATGTCTAAAACCACTAAAGGTAGGTACTTCAGTGGTGAGATCGTCAATTGTAAGCTCCTGTGAGAAAAACCATAGGCTCCTGCTTCTTGAGTACACAGAGTTGATAACTGAGTTTATCTCATAGCTTGTCTAGCAATTTCTGTTGCATTGTTTTGAATGTTTTAAAATCACCTTGGTATTCGTGCTTTAGACCTTACTGGACCTCACTGAAGATGTAAGAAACTATAAATTTTCATTTGTATAATTTTGAGGCCATTTGCCTAAGTCATTTATCATTTGTGTGTGTGTTGTCCACTGAGTCTCCAGGGCTGTAAGTTTATTTCTTAATTGACAGTGTTTTGATAACTCTGGTTTTAACTGATGTTTTTACTGGAGTTCAGCTGTTTCGTCCTTTTTCTTTTTGTTGGTGTATAGCCTAGCAGAAATTGGTTCTAAGGATAAATTTGATTTTCTTTACATCATCACCATTGACCTACCCTGTGACCACTGGCAATTTTCAAAATCTTTCTCTAAAAAACTAGTGGTAGTGCCTTTACCATGATATTTTAACAAGAAAGGCATGTTAGTTTGAAATTTAATTGTTGAAATGAATTACTACTGAAAACTATGTTCTTATTCCTAGATGATATGTACCTTCCTCTTTGTGGACTCACCTTTGTCCACAAAGAACATGGGCTTTGAGGTTATACCTGAACGGAATCCTAATCTTGGCTTTGTGAACTTTGACAAATAATTTAATTTCTCCTTACCCATGTTTCTTCGTAGTAAAATGGGAATAATAGCTACCTACTTCTAGCATAGTTGTGAGAATTAAATTAGCTAATAAATGTGAAGTGTATAGCACAGTTCCTGGTTACCTGGAGGAAGACAGTATATTCCATCTATGAGCAAGGAAATGTGTACAATGCTAGTGGAGAAATTATGCTATTTGTAAAAATCCATGCACGTCTTTTGTATGTCAATGTGAGTAATTTTTGCTGACTAAAAATTATAATTATTCATAAGGCAGTTTGAATTAAACTGCAGAGTTCCTAGTTGTCAGAGGCTAAAAGTTCCTTAGTCCTCCTCCTCCCTCCCAACCCCCTCACTCCCATTTTATCACAATTTATCAAACAGAAAAGTTGTAAGAATTATAGTGAGGATCCATATATGTACTACCTAGGTTCAACAATTAATATATGCTGTATATTTTATCATATCCATCCATCCCTCCAGCAGTCCATCTTTTGTGGGGTTTTTTTATTTTTTTTATTTTTTTGGTTTTTTAAATTTTTTTTTTTAAGATTTTATTTATTTATTCATGAGACACAGAGAGAGAGGAAGATACACAGGCAGAGGGAGAAGCAGGCGCCATGCAGGAAGCCCAATGTGGGACTCGATCCTGGGTCTCCAGGGTCAGGCCCTGGACTGAAGGTGGCGCTAAACCGCTGAGCCACCCGGGCCGCCCCTCATCTTTTGTTTTGATTCCTCTCAAAGTTACAGACATTAGTATACTTCACTATAAGCATTTTAGTGTTCTGTATAGCATTAGCTAGAGTTGATTTTTTTTTTTGAAGACGTGAGTAAAATTTATATACAGTGAAATGGATGTCTTAAGTGTACCATTTATAAAGTAGCTTACTTGTTTTAAGGACACATTCTCAGATTACTTGTTTTCTTGAGGGGGTAATTTCATTAAGGCTGTTTTGAGAATTTTTACTGTAGTGAGTTTTGGGATTATGGAATTGCACTTGAGGCTGAAAGACTAAAACGACTTTTGGAAAGGTCTTGCTTTGCAGTGATTCCTTTTGAATTCATATCTCAAGTTCTGTCTTCTCAGTTAATTGGAACTGTGCAGTAATGGTAAAAAATAAGCCAGGAAAGAATCAGAGACACAATATGATAGCATAGGACACAAATATAAACATTATATAATTTTAAAGTCACATGCATATTTTTAGTTGGGTTTTAGAGAGCATTATGTGTTTTTATGTGTGCACTACAGATTTTTCCTCATTTGGAATTCCAGACAGTAAGTACAAAATTTTCTTAGAGTAGAACATGCATATCCTTCTGTGATATCTCTGTGGTTTTTCCTTGGGAGACACAGTCAAAATTAAACAAGCAACATCGTTTTAAAAGACTAAAAATGCTTTGCCAGAAATGCAAGGTCTTTGCATCCTTCAAATTAGTAGTGATTGATAGTAGCAATTTCATTTCACATTAATAGAACCTAACTCAATTCAGGGGAAAAATACATTTGTTTTTTGAGAACAGTTTGTATTGTTGCTCGCATTTACCTATTGGTTGTCTCCTCTTGCCACCTCTCTCCTCCATCACTTTTACTATTGAAATCTGGACCTCAAATATAGCATCTGTATCACTAAAAATGCCATAAGTATATGGCCATCAGGATGTTACTATTAACAATAAGCTTCTGTTCAGAAGTTGAAGGGTTTGTAACAGAGTTCCTTAGAAAGATTTAGTAATGCTGAATGATTAAAGAAACTAGTTTTTAGGGATGCCTGGATGGCTCAGCGGTTTAGTGCCTGCCTTCGTGATCCTGGGGTCCTGGGATCGAGTCCCACATCAGGCTTCCTGCATGGAGCCTGCTTCTCCTTCTGCCTGTGTCTCTGCCACTCTCTCTCTGTCTCTTGTGAATAAATAAATAACATCTTTTAATAAAAAAAACAAACAAACTAGTTTTTAGAGCATGTGGTCCTTAGAAGTTTGTCCTGGGATAATAGAGATGGTAGTTTTATCCCAGCTCTAATTCAGTCAGAGAAAACTGTCAGCCAGTTATTTAGAAGTGTTCATTTTCTGAAGAATGTTTAGTAAATCCATTTAACCACTTTCAGTATTCTATATCATGTACATATACATGTTGTTATTGCTGTTCTGAGTACTTTGATTTCAATAAAGACTTGTATTTTAACTAACTTTTGGGAGCAAATTTCCAAAAAGCAGTGTAGGTATAAGAAAACCATGGCTAATATCATATGAATTACTGTATATATATACACACACACTATTTGTTTTGAAAAATTTTGAATTATGTCAGTATTACCAATGACCAAAGATAAAGGGAGATATTGAAGTTCTGGAATGGGAACAATTTATTTAGACTACTGGGCAAATTGTTTTTTCAGTCACGTTTTTAGTGCTATTTTTTTTACCCCTCATGTAGAGGGGGAAAGCACATTAGGTTTTATGAAAAAGGCAAAAAGAATTAATGAGGGTTGGGTTTCAATTTAGAATAATCTGCCTCATAGATTTCTAGATTCTTTTTTTTTTAATTTTTTTTTAATTTATTTATGATAGCCAGAGAGAGAGAGAGAGAGAGGCAGAGACATAGGCAGAGGGAGAAGCAGGCTCCATGCACCGGGAACCCGACGTGGGATTCGATCCCGGGTCTCCAGGATCACACCCTGGGCCAAAGGCAGGCGCCAAACCCCTGCGCCACCCAGGGATCCCGATTTCTAGATTCTTAATGATGAAGAAAATAAATTGAACATGCAACAGTACCTTGCTTTATGAGTTCCTAAAAAGTTGATTTGAAATCATTTTATGTATGAAATACCAGAAGTCTTTATAGTTTTGAGAACTTATAAATCATTTGGTAAGACAATTTTTTCAGCTTATCTATTTTGCAAATTCTAATAATTCTTGTGTCTTAGGGGTTGTTTAGTATGGGCACAACTTAATTATTGACTGAGGATACAAGGAACAATCTTCTTGGGATCTGTCAATTAAATAGCTCTCTAGTTGAAACAGGGTTTGGTGAAGCATGCTAGTTACTTTTAATTTCCTGACTGGTATAACTCACCTTTAGTATAAAGTATGATTTTTTTTATCATGTTTTTATTTTATCAGAGGTTTTTTTTGTTTTTTGTTTTTTTAAGATTTTGTTTCTTAAAATTGAGATGGAGAGTGAGAGAGAGCATGAGAGCACCAGGGCTGGGAGAGGCAGACTCCTTGCTGAGTGAGGAGCCTGAAAGGGCTGAATTCCAGAACCCCCTGGGATGGTGACCTAAACCGAAGGCAGATGCTTAACCAACTGAGCCACCCAAGGGCCCCAACTTTTTCACAGACTTAAACCAAAACTCTAAAAAAGTAATCATTGTGAATATGGGTGTTTTTCAACATGGGTAAAAAACACTCACCCACCTTCCGTGAGTTGTATAAGTAATGGATAATTTTAGTATTGTATGATTGAAACATGATATGTCCTGCAGGATTTAGTTCCTTGTAATCTATTTTTTAAGTAAACTTTAAAAAAAAAAAAGATTTTATTTATTTATTCATGAGAGAGAGAGAGAGAGAGAGGCAGAGACACAGGCAGAGGGAGAAATGCTCCATGCAGGGAGCCTGATGTGGGACTCTATCCTGGGCGGCGCTAAACTGCTAAGCCACCTGGGCTGCCCAACTTTGTTTTTTAGACCAGTTTGAGATGCACCAAAAAGTTGTGAAGATAGTACAAAGAATTCTTATATGTCCTCGCACCCTATTTCCCCTATTATTATACATTAGTACGGTACATTTGTTACAGTTAATGAACCAATTCTGATATATTATTATTATCTGATAGTACCTAATTCATTTTTAAGATTGTTAAATTACTCAAAATGAGTTAAGTTACAGTGCTCTGTAGTTTAACTGATGTATTTTCCTCCCTATTGCTGTAGGCTACCCATTTTAAACTGCTTTTCTTTTTCCACTAGGAAATCCATGAAGTCTAGAAGTAGAAGTCCCGCATATTCAAGACACTCATCTTCTCATAGTAAAAAGAAGAGATCCGGGTCACGCAGTCGACATTCCAGCATCTCACCTGTCAGGCTTCCATTGAACTCCAGCTTGGGAGCTGAACTCAGTAGGAAAAAGAAGGAAAGAGCAGCTGCTGCTGCAGCAGCAAAAATGGATGGAAAGGAATCCAAGGGTTCACCTATATTTTTGCCTAGAAAAGAGAACAGTTTAGTAGAGGCTAAAGATTCAGGCTTGGAGTCTAAAAAGTTAACCAGAGGTGTAAAATTGGAAAAATCTGCCCCAGATACTGAACTGGTGAATGTACCACATCTAAATACAGAAGTCAAAAATTCTTTAGATACAGGGAAAGTAAAGTTGGATGAGAACTCTGAGAAGCATCCTATTAAAGATTTGAAAGCACAGGGATCAAGAGACTCTAAACCCATAGTATTGAAAGAGGAAATTGTTACTCCAAAAGAGACAGAGACATCAGAAAAGGAGACCCCTCCACCCGTCCCCACAGTTACTTCTCCTGCACCTCCTTTACCAACAACTACCCCTCCACCTCAGACACCCCCTTTGCCACCTTTGCCTCCACTACCAGCTATTCCACAGCAACCACCTCTGCCTCCTCCCCAACCAGCATTTAGTCAGGTTCTTACTTCTAGTACTTCAACTTTGCCCCCTTCTACTCACCCAAGGACATCTACCTTGTCCTCTCAGGCAAATTCTCAGCCCCTTGCACAGGTTTCTGTGAAGACTCAAGTGTCTGTAACAGCTGCTATTCCACACCTAAAAACTTCAACGTTGCCTCCTCTGCCCCTCCCACCCTTATTACCAGGAGACGATGACATGGATAGGTAAGTCCTATAGTTAACTAGGAAACCTTTATCCTCTTGATCTAAATGTAATTCATTTTCTCAAACTGTCAAAACTAATATATGGATGTTTAAAATACTTCTATGAATAGAAAATGCTTTTGGTATTTGGTTGTCAGTATAAAAGATTTTATTTATAACATTATTACTTAGAAGGAGAAAATTAGGGGCACCTCGGTAGCTCAGTGGTTGAGCATCTGCCTTTGGCTCCGGTCATGATCCAATGGTCCTGGGATCAAGTCCCACATTGGGCTCCCCATAGGGAGCCTGCTTCTTCTGCTTATGTCTCTGCCTCTCTGTCTCTGTCTCTAATGAATAAATAAATATTTTTTAAAAAGGAGAAAATTACAGTTTGAGGCCTAGTAACCCTTTTTTTCATAAGTTTTTTTTTCATAAGTTTATTTGATAAACTTTTGATTCAAGTTTTTAAAAATCAATGGTGTTTTTCTCCCTAAATTTTTATGTTGAAGAAAATTTTTTTTTCTTTTTGGATTGTTTTTTCTTTTTTTAAAGATTTTATTTATTTGAGAGAGCAAGAGAGAGAAAGCACAAGCAAGGGAGGGGCAGAGGGAGAAGGAAAAGCAAATTCTCTGCTGAGCAGGGAGTCTGCTGCAGGCCTCAATCACAGGACCCTGGATCATGGCCTGAACCAAAGACAGCCTTTAACTGAGTGAGCCACTCAGGTACCCCCAAGATTTTTTTTTATTTTTATTTTTAAGTAATACCTACACCCAATGTGGGGCTCGGATTTCTGATTCCAAGATCAAGAGTTGCATACTCTTCTCTAACTGAGCCAGCCAGGCATCCCCCCCGCCCCCGCCATTTTTAAAAAAATAATCTCTACACCCAGTATGGGGCTCTCAAACTCACGACCCTGAGATCAAGAGTTAGATGCTCCACTAACTGAACCAGCCAGGCACCCCTATATTGAAAACTTAAATAGCTGTAGAAAAATTTAAAGAATAATACAATTAATTCCTTTATACTCTTGACCAAGATTCATCACTTGTTAACTTTTTACATTTGCTTTAACTTTAGATATGATGCTTTACTTCAGAATACTTTAGCGTGTCTCTTCTAAGAACATTGTCCTTAAGAAAAATCTAAAAAACTTAACTTATTTAATGGTAAAATATCAATAATAATATTAAATATCCTTTGTGGTCCCCCAAAATGTCTTTTATAGCTGGATTCTTTTTTTCCTAATCTAGGAAAAGAATAAACCAGGTTTATTTTGAAAGGCACTGATTAAAAAAAAAAAAAAGTTATCCTATAAGAAGTGGAAGAACAATATGTAGAATATTTACTAATTAGAATATAAATTCACAATGGGATGATGGGAAGAGCTTTAATTTTGATGGGTCCTCTGAATAATGAGAAGTGAAATTCTTCTGAAGCATGAATCTGATTTTATGGAAGGCATTAGGAAATACATTCTATATCTTGACAGGACTAGCTAGGCAAGTACCATCAAACAAATATGATTTATCAGTGACATATGCCATGGTAGTATGTGTCACTGGTGTTTTCTAAGGTGATCCTAGGCTCTTGTTCTCTAGGATATGTTACACTTTATTGCAACAAACTTTCATTGTAAGCATTGAAAGTAAGTACCATGGATCTTGCATTCCAGACTAATTCCTAAACCTCCATAATTTTCCAGTGATGTCAGTAATTTATTTATTTGAGAGGGAGAGTGAGAAAGCATGAGTGGGGACAAGAGGACAAGCAGGCTTCCCACGTAAACAACTTGAAATATGATCAGTTATCCCTTTCTCCTTAAAGCAGGTTGTTTAAAAAGTGATTTACTTTTACAAACTTCTATTAAAAATTTGCGTTAATACATTAAAAATGAGAACTAAACATTCCATTAGCAAAATACTAAATTCTGAATGCTCCAAAGATCTTTTTATAAGGGCTTAGTACTTTAAAGATAAAGCCTTTAAAAGTGGTATAGACTCTGCTAAAGTCTGGTAAACTCTAGCTGAACCAGGTTTCCAAAAAAATTGATTGGAAATGAAGACTTTACTTTTTTTAGTAAGCTCTATGCCCAATGTGTGGCTTGAACTCACGACCCTAAGATCAAGAGTTTCATGCTCTACTAATTGAGCCAGCTAGGTGCCTGGAAAGGAAGATTTTAAAAACCTTATGTGGTTAAAGATTTTATTTATTCATTTGACAGAGAGAGTGCGCCACGAGCGCTTGTGCACAAGCAGGGGGGGGGGGGAGTGGCAGGCAGAGGGGGAGGGAGAAGCAGGCTCCCTGTGGAGCAGGGAGTCCTATGTGGGGCTTGATCCCAGGACCCAGGATCATGACCTGAGCCAAAGACAGATGCTTAACTGACTGAGCCACCCGGGTTTCCCCCGACATCAGTAATTTAAATGATGATGCGTTTCAGCTCTTTATATTTTTCAAGATTATATACTCTGCCTTTTAAGAAGGTGCAAATGCAATTAAATTATTTTTAAAGAATGACTCTATTACTATTCATAGTGGTAAATCTGATTTTATTTTAATTTTTTAAGAAGATTTTATTTATTTATTCATGAGAGAGAGAGAGAGAGAGAGAGAGAGAGGCAGAGACACAGGCAGAGGAAGAAACAGGCTCCATGCAGGGATCCTGATATGGGACTCAATCCCAGGACTCCAGGATTACGCCTTGGGCCGAAGGCAGGCGCCAAACTGCTGAGCCACCCAGGGATCCCAGTAAATCGGATTTATTTTATTTATTTTATTTTTTTAGTAAATCTGATTTTAAAGAAAAATCCTACATGCTTTAATATTATCAATTCTGCTATATCCTGAGAATTGCAAAGGAGAAATATAAAACCTGAAATTTATGTAAAAAAAATCTATTTAGGTATACAATATATTTCTTTTTTAAATTTTTTTATTATTTATTCATGATAGTCATAGAGAGAAGAGAGAGAGGCAGAGGCACAGGCAGAGGGAGAAGCAGGCTCCACGCCGGGAGCCCGACTCAGGACTCGATCCCGGAACTCCGGGATCGCACCCTGGGCCAAAGGCAGGTGCTAAGCCGCTGAGCCACCTAGGGATCCCCTGTATACAATATATTTCTCATAGATAATGACCTATGCATTTCTATAGTTTTTATTGGAAAAGAAAATAGCAGTTGAGCATTATCCAGTGGGACTCTGGGCCATGATCTAGCTACAGGAGCCTTGTTTAAATATTAGTTTACATAGTGGCTAGAACAATATCGGTGTGGCTGAGGATCTTCATTTTGAAATGTTTACTTGGCTAACCAAATAATTATTGAACTTACCTACTATGTGTCACTGTAGAATGCAGATTTCCAGAGGTGGAATAATTTTGATAGGCACATAGGAATTTCTATCTTTTAGGTTGAAGATGAAAGGTAAAGTAAGACCATTCAGTACTTAATTTGAGTATATGTGGCTATCTTTAAGAATGTGTATGAGAAAATGAAGTGAACAGAAGCATTTTTTGTTATATATCAATTCTGATTCTGAAAATATGACTTTCACCTCATAGTCCAATGTAATTTTATTTTTATTTTTATTTTTTTTAAAGATTTTATTTATTTGTTCATGAGAAACACACACAGAGAGAGACAGAGAGAGAGAGAGAGAGAGAGGCAGAGGGAGAAGCAGGCTCCATGCAGGGAGCCTGACGTGGGACTTGATCCTGGGTCTCCAGGATCACACCCTGGGCTGAAGGCAGCGCTAAACCCCTGAGTCACCCAGGCTGCCCTGTAATTTTAATAGTATGATAATTATGTAAAAACCCTTACACAGGGGATTCCTGGGTGGCTCAGCGGTTTGGTGCCTGCCTTCGGCCCAGGGCTTGATCCTGAAGTCCTGGGATTGAGTCCCACATTGGGCTCCCTGCATGGAGCCTGCTTCTCTCTCTGCCTCTCTCTCTCTCACGAATGAATAAATAAAATCTTACAAAACAAAACAAAACCCATACACAAGAACAAAACATCTATTTTCTGTGGATACATATGTCTGTGTATATATCCATATAAATTCACATCAGAAAATCCAGAAAGATATATATTAAGCTGATAAAATGATTATCTCTGTGGATGGGACTTATAATGAGGATCAAAGGTAAAGGGACCTTATCTCCAAAGTTTTAATATTTTAAAAGTATGGAATGCTTCATAGATTTGCTTGTCATCTTTGTGCAGGAGCCATGCTAATCTCTATTGTTCCAGTTTTAGTATATGTGCTGCTGAAGTGAGCACCAATGTAATTACTTTTAAATGTATGATTATTATTAGCTTTCCACATAAATACAAATGAATTATTAAAGGTAGAAAAATGGAAATGAAGATATCTTCCACAATCTATTTTTTCATTTTGTATTTTAAATTCAAGATGGCTTTTGTTTTCATCTTTATTTTTTGGTGCCATGTTACATATATATCATACCAGTGGTACCTGTCTTTCGCATGAAAAATAATTTTTTGGCAGCCCCTGTGGCGCAGCGGTTTAGCGCCGCCTGCAGCTTGGGGTGTGATCCTGGAGGCCCGGGATCGAGTCCCATGTTGGGCTCCCTGCATGGAGCCAGCTTCTACCTCTGCCTGTGTTTCTGCCTCTCTCTCTCTCTGTGTGTCTCTATGGATAAATAAATAATAATCTTTAAAAAAAATTTTTTTTTAAATTTATGTTAGAGAGGCAGAGACACAGGCACAGGGAGAAACAGGCTCCATGCGCCGGGAGCCCAACGTGGGACTCGATCCTGGGTCTCCAGGATCGCGCCCTGGGCCAAAGGCAGGCGCTAAACCGCTGCGCCACCCAGGGATCCCTAAAAAAGTAATTTTTATGTAAGAAAACTTTTCAGAAAGAAATCTGAAAGTTGCATACAGAATTCATTTATCTTCTTGATCTCACATAAGATTGCAGCAGCTTCATTGTTGAGAATGTGATTTATATATTTTTGTTTCCTTCAATGCTTTAAACATAAAAACACAGAATACAATTAGTAAATATTGCTTATTTGAATAAGATTACCGAAGGAGCCAGGATCAAGACTTGTGTGAAATGACACTGGGCACGTAGTTAAGAATTCACTTGGCACATGGATGACATTAGGTTTATATCAGAGGATGTGTCGTCGTCGTCTTTTTTTTTTTTTTTTTAAGATTTTATTTATTCATGAGAAGCAGAGATGTAGGCAGAGGAAGGAGAAGCAGGCTCCTTGCAGGAGCTCAATGTGGGACTTGATCCCTAAACTCCGGGATCACATCCTGAGACAAAGGCAGATGCTCAACTGCTGAGCCACCCAGATATTCCATAGGTGTGTCTTCTTTTATTTTTTAAAGGTTTTTTTTTTTATTCATGAAAGACACAGAGAGAGAGGCAGAGACACAGGCAGAGGGAGAAGCAGCTCCACGCAGGGAGCCCAATGTGGAACTCCATCTTGTGTCTCCAGGACCACACCCTGGGCTGAAGGCAGCACTAAACCGCTGAGCCCCCCGGGCTGCCCGCTGTGTCTTCTTTTAAAGCCCCTTTGGGAATAGAATGAAACTTTTCTTTCAAACTTATGTATTGGACCGAGTGTATTTTGTTTTTTGTTTTTAAGATTTTATTCACTTATTCATGAGAAATGTAGAGAGAGAGGCAGAGACATAGGCAGAGGGAGAAGTGGGCTCTCTGTGGGGAGCCTGATGTGGGACTCCAACCCAGGACCCTGGGATCTTGACCTGAGCCAAAGGCAGATGCTCAACCACTGAGCTACCCAAGTACCTCTGGGCCAGGAGTATATTAATCCAGGTATCAAATGCGGGAATGAATTTAACATGGTATTGCAAAAGCCTTTCTAATTCATGGTCTGCAATTCTTAGTTTCAAGAAATGAGGACTGCTAAACACCCATTCTTCATGAAACAGTACATTCTTCATGAACATAATTATTCATGGGGATCACCTGCTGGTTTGCTTTTTAAGAGTTTACTTAGAGCACAAATGAGAGGAGGGGCAGAGAGAGACAAGTAGACTCCCTGCTGAGCGAGGCTCCTGAGATCATGACCTGAGGCAAAGTCAGACACTTAACTGACTGAGCCACCCAAGTGCTCCAGGGATCACCTGCTCTTTTTTTTTTTTTTTTAATTTTTTATTTATTTATGATAGTCACAGAGAGAGAGAGAGAGAGAGAGAGAGAGGCAGGCTCCATGCACCGGGAGCCTGACGTGGGATTCGATCCAGGGTCTCCAGAATCGCGCCCTGGGCCAAAGGCAGGCGCCAAACCGCTGCGCCACCCAGGGATCCCGGGATCACCTGCTCTTAAGGAGATCATCTGTATACTGTTTTTAAAATTTTAGTTAACTGAGGTGCCTGGCTAGCTCAGTCAGTAAAGCATACAACTCTCAATCTCAGGAGTCGTGAGTTCAAGCCCCAGGTTGGACATGGAGCCTACTTCAGATAATAGAATTTCGGTTAACCACATAGGGTTTTTATTTAAAGAAATTTTTTTTTTTTTTTAAAGATTCTATTCAAGGGACACCTTATGGCTCAGTGGTTGAGCGCCTGCCTTTGGCCCAGGGTTTGATCCTGGAGTCCTGGGATCAAGCCCCCCAGGGGGCTCTCTGAGTGGAGCCTGCTTCTCTCTCTCTGCCTGTGTGTGTGTGTGTGTGTGTGTGCGTGTGTGTGTGTATCTCAAATAAATAAAATCTTTATTAAAAATAAAGTTTAAAAAAAATAAAGATTCTAATCATTCATTCATGAGAGACACAGAGAAAGAGGCAGAGACATAGGTAGAGAAGCAAGCTCCATGCAGGGAGCCCGATGAGGCACTTGATCCTGGAACCGTGGGACCATGGACCCGAGACAAAGGCAGACGCTCAACCACTGAGCCACCCAGGCATCCCCACATGGGTTTTTAAAATCTTCCTTTCCAGGGTACCTGGCTGGCTCAGTTGGTAAAGCATGAAAATCTTGATCTTAGGGTCATGAGTTCAAGCCACACGTTGGGCAAAAAGCTTACTAAAGATAGTAACAAAAATAATAAAATCTTCATTTCCCAATCAATTTTTTGGTAGCCTGGTTCAGTTGGAGTTTATCAGACTTTAGCAGAGTCTACATTATTCTTAAAGACTTTATCTTTAAAGTACTGAGCTCTTATGGAAAAGTTTTGTGTGAGCTTCAGAATTTAGAATTTGTTAATGGAATGCTCAGTTCCCTTTTTTTTTTTTTTTTAATTTTTATTTATGATAGTCACACAGGGAGAGAGAGAGAGGCAGAAACACAGGCAGAGGGAGAAGCAGGCTCCATGCACCGGGAGCCCGATGTGGGATTCGATCCCGGGTCTCCAGGATCGCGCCCTGGGCCAAAGGCAGGCGCCAAACCGCTGCGCCACCCAGGGATCCCCTCAGTTCCCATTTTTAATGTACTCACCTCAAAAATTTTTTTAAAAGATATTTATTAAGGATGCCTGGGTGGCTCAGCGGTTTAGCTCCTGCCTTCGGCCCAGCACATGATCCTGGGGTCTCGGGACTGAGTCCTACCTACATCAGGCTCCCTGCGTGGAGCCTGCTTCTCCCTCTTCCTGTGTCTCTGCCCCTCTCTCTCTCTCTCTCTCTCTCTCTGTCCCTTGTGAATAAATAAATAAAATCTTTAAGAAAATATTTTGTTAGAGAGGAGGAGTTTGGGGGGGCGGACAGAAGGAGAGGTTGAGGCAGATTTCCCACTGAGCAGGGAGCCCAACGCGAGATTGATCACAGGACCCTGGGACCATGACCTGAGTTGAAGGCAGATGCTTCACTGACTGGGCCACCCAGGTGCCCTCGACTCAAATTTTTAATAGAAGAATCTAAAAGTAAATCAGTTTTTAAACCTGCTTTAAGGAGAAAGGGATAGATGATCATATTTAAAGTCATTTATGCGGGGGTACCTGGGTGGCTCAGTCAGTTACATGTCTGCCTTTGGCTTGAGTTGTAATTCCAGGGCCTAGGATTGAGACTGCTCCTCAGGGATCCTGCTTCTCCCTCTCCCTGCCATTCCCCTGTTTGTTTTCACGCTTTCTTTCTCTCTCTCTCTCTCTCTCTCTCTCTCTCTCTCTCTATCTCTGTCAATGGATAAATAAAATCTTTAAAGTCGTTTATACTATAAAATTATGAAAAATATTAAGTTAATCTTTTTAAATAATTGATATGTAAATTTTCTTTATTAATAATGAGTTCTTATAAATGATATTGACATTGTACTACAGATTAAATTCCATCATTATAAATTCCAAGAGATTATACAGATTTAAAAATTTGAGCAGTCATGGAGCTTTGCAACTTTTTTTTCTTGTTTTTTTTTTCCACAACTTTTTTTGAAAGAAAATTATATGTGAGCATTTATGCAACTACTCACCATTTGTGGGCCCAACTACAGTCATAAACAGGGAACCAGGAAATACTGGTATTGGTAGGATCAGCACTTCCTAGTACTGAATCTTCATAGTAATGACTTAGATGTTCAATATCTGCTCTCCAGTGTTAGACCCTCTCTGTACCTACCATATATCCTCTGCACTGTACAGAGCTGTGTTTTACTGAGTGCTGAATACTGAAGGCTATAGGCTGTGATGTTAAGCATTGCAATTTTATAAGTCATCATTATTCCACAATTTTTGGTACATTGGAATTTGTTGAAATAGGATTTGACCTGCATTCAACTTATGTGCTCTGAATGGATAGTACATATCAAACACATGCTTGATGAATTAAACATGCTAATCATACAATTTTTCAGAAGCAATGTACATTTTCATAGTAGCAAATTGAATATGAACCTATAAAGCCAACCTTGGAGAAAGCAGGACTTAAGTTTAAAAATAGACTGAATTTAGGGATCCCTGGGTGGCGCAGCAGTTTGGCGCCTGCCTTTGGCCCAGGGCGCGATCCTGGAGACCTGGGATCGAATCCCACGTCAGGCTCCCGGTGTATGGAGCCTGCTTCTCCCTCTCCCTGTGTCTCTGCCTCTCTCTCTCTCACTGTGTGCCTATCATAAATAAATAAAACAAAAAAAATTTAAAAAAAATAGACTGAATTTATATGAAGTGATGGTGAGAGAATTCAGATACTTCTAGTGAAGCATAACCAAGAAGTAATTTATTTCTGAGTCATGAGGAATTAAAATTTATAAAGAATATTCTGACAATAGTTGAAAAATTAGGAATTTTTATTCCTTGAATGTCTTAAACATTGGAGAAATTTAAAAATCTGTATTACGTCCTGCCTGAAGAGTTTTCTGGTAATAGGCTTCGTTCCCAGGGTAGAAAAATCTTAGTGTAAATTATAATAATCATGTGCATTCGTCTCTATCAGTAATTTAACAGAAAGTTTCAAATGATCATTTTGCAATCTATTGACTACCCTAGTTCTGTCTGATATACACAAACTAATCTAGATTCTATTCTGCCTGATTTGCAGGAGATTAAAATGATGAAAATTGGTATGAAGTTACACTTTTTGAGATTGTGTTTCACATGCAATCTTTAAAAAGACACATTGCAAGGGATCTTCATTGGTTCTATGGATGACGTATTCATGAAAGAATACATGTTTTATAACCACTTGTAAAAAAAAAAAAGGAGAAGAGGCTCCTGTGGTTAGGAGGATTCTCAGCTTGTTTTCAAGCTTCTGATACTGTGATATTATCTTTTCTGAGGGTGTACATAGCACAAAATCCTTTCTTTTTTTTAATATTTTATTTATTCATAGACACAGAGAGAGAGAGAGGCAGAGATACAGGCAGAGGGAGAAGCAGGCTCCACGCAGGGAACCCGACACGGGACTCGATCCCGGGTCTCCAGGATCACACCCAGGCCGCAGGCGGCGCCAAACCGCTGTGCCACCGGAGTTGCCCACAAAATCCTTTCTTATAAATAAATTGAGATCGTTAAAAAATTGGATCTGAACAGTGACTTTTCTAATCTATTCCAAAAAAGACATCCTTTCTTCCCATTCTTCCCCCCTACTACCACCATTTTGTTGATTATCATGAGAGGCCTGCTACCAACTGCTTTAATGATTCTGAAATAGTTTCCTGGACTCTCTGCTTAGATTACTTTGAGAATTATTTATATATTTTGGCTAGTCATATATGGTTGCCTTTTGCTTCTAAACCAATAGAATAGGTCAGTATATTCACTAATTTTGATGTCCAATTTAACTATATTTTTTACAAAACACTCAAATACTATTTCCTTTTCCAAATTCTGTCAACATCTACACAGTAGTGTGACATTGTTGAACTTTCATTTCTTTGGAATTTCTTATTTATTTATTTATTTATTTATTTATTTATTTATTTATTTATGAGAGAGAGAGAGAGAGAGAGAGAGAGAGAGAGAGAGAGAGAGAGAGGAGGGAGAGGCAGAGACATAGGCAGAGGGAGAAGCAGGGAGCACCGGGAGCCTGACATGGGATTCAATCCCGGGTCTCCAGGATCGCGCCCTGGGCCAAAGGCAGGCGCCAAACCGCTGCGCCACCCAGGGATCCCCCCCTTCTTTGGAATTTCATTCCAAAATATGTAGAATATGTTTGGTGACTCCCATGAGTTGCTGTGATACTTTTTGAATTTAAGGTGATTACTTCTTATATTTTATTTCATCTCAGTAAAATTCCATATAGAATCTTAGGAAGAACATTAAAGAGTTTGTTAAAGGACCTACAAGTAATACCCCAAATTTTTATTTTTTATTGTTTTCTTTTATGTACTATAGATTTCTTTTTGTGAAATCCAAGAATCTTTGTGATAAACTCTAGTTGCATATATTACATTACTTTTAAGTAAAATCTTTATAATCTTTTAATAGCCAGACATAAGCTTTGAAAAGTTTTATTTGCATATTTCTTAATTATGATCTTTTTCTTTTCTTCATCTATGGTTTAGTCCAAAAGAAACTCTACCTTCAAAACCTGTAAAGAAAGAGAAGGAACAAAGGCCACGTCACTTACTGACAGACCTCCCCCTCCCTCCAGAACTTCCTGGTGGGGATCCATCTCCTCCAGACTCTCCAGAACCAAAGGCAGTTACACCACCTCAGCAACCATATAAAAAGAGACCAAAGTGAGTTTTTTGGAGGGGCCTGTTCTTTTATTATTTATTTAAGAGAGAATGAGCTGGGGGGAGGGCAGGGAGGAGCAGAGGGGAAAGGAGAGGGTGATGGGACACCTGGGTGGCTTACCGGTTGAGTGCCTGCCTTTGGCCCAGGGCGTGATCCTGGAGTCCCGGGATCAAGCCCCACATCAGGCTCCCTGCATGGAGCCTACTTCTCCCTCTGCCTGTGTCTCTGCCTCTCTCTCTGTCTCTCTCATGAATAAATAAATAAAATCTTTAAAAAAGAGAGAGAGAAAGAGGGAGAGAACTTCCAACAAGACTCTGCACTGAATATGGAGCCTAACTTGGGATGGTATCCTATGACCTGTGAGTTCATGACCTGAGCCAAAACCGAGCCTGACTTTTAACCTACTGAGCCACCGAGGCTCCCCTGGAGGGACTTTTTTTTTTTTTTTTTTAAGATTTTATTTAGGGATCCCTGGGTGGCGCAGCGGTTTGGCACCTGCCTTTGGCCCAGGGCGCGATCCTGGAGACCTGGGATGGAATCCCATGTCGGGCTCCCTGCATGAAGCCTGCTTCTCCTTCTGCCTGTGTCTCTGCCTCTCTCTCTGTGTGTGTGACTATCATGAATAAATAAATAAAATCTTTAAAAAAATAAGATTTTATTTATTTATTCATGAGAGACATAGAAGCAGAGACAACCAGGCAGAGGGAGAAGCAGGCTCCATGCAGGGAGTCTTAATTGGGACTTGATCCTGAGACTCCAGGATCACGCCCTGGGCTGAAGGCAGGGGCTAAACCGCTGAGCCACCCAGGGATCCCCAGAGGGACCTATTCTTAATTACAACTTCCTTCCTTACTGGTGGGCCTAAATCTCACACTTTCATCCACAACCTACACTGTAGGATTATAAAAGATTGGGCCTAATGTGTATCTTTTATTTTATATTAGTGGATAAAAGCCTTTCTGGGATCTGTACCCTCAGATACCTAGAGTTTTTAGAAAAGCAGTGATTTCCCAAATCCAGATACACCATGAACATTGGTATGAACATTGTATCTTTTGAGTTTGATACTTAGAATATTAAAAAAGAAAAAAGCTCTTTTATTCAGGGTGTATCAACATGTATAAATTAATGAAAAATTAATAGATGTGGTATGTTTTTTCTTAAACCACATAAATTGCCATGCTATAAATGTAATAGAATCTGGATTTGATCTTTTCGTTGTTAGCATTCCTCAAGTAGGCTCCATGCGCACCTTAGAGCTTAAACTCATGACCTTGAGATCCAGAACTGCATACTTTACCAACTGGGGCAGCCAGGCACTCCAGCGTTCCTCTCTTAAATAGTAAAAATAGTTACCATTTATTGAGTACGTATTATTGCCCAATTTTTATATTTTACTTTAATGGTAGCTCTATGATGTAGGGATTCTTTGCCATTCAATAGATGAGGAAGCCAATACTAAAGAGAGGCTAGAAAGTAGGCAGCAAATCTATTATTTGATCTTATGTCATCCTGAAGCAAGAAATCTGTCTTACCCACTGTAAGAGACCATTTATTTCATGTCATTTGATTTCTGCCTTTTTTAATAAAGAAATTCATAAAAGATTCATGGGCCAGAGAATCATCATAAAAGAGCTCTGTTTTCTTCTTTGAACAGACTTAAGTTTTTAAAATAACTTTTTGGTTTGTTTTGGGGTTTTTTTGTTTTGCCTTTTTTTTTTTTAGAATTTGTTGTCCTCGTTATGGAGAAAGAAGACAAACAGAAAGTGACTGGGGGAAACGCTGTGTAGACAAGTTTGACATTATCGGGATTATTGGAGAGGGAACCTATGGCCAAGTATATAAAGCCAAGGACAAAGACACAGGTAAATATTGCCACAAAATTCTAAATGTCAGAAGTTTAAAAACGTAGCAATACTAATGCTAAAGTAGACTTAACAAAAGTAAATTTCGAGTTCTGATTTGATTTCCAAATATTACTAAAAGACTAAAATTTTCCAAAGGACTAGTATAATTATTACTGTTTAAAAACCTTCCTCTTTATTAGTTGTTGGTTATAAATATTTTATAATAAGCTTGCTAGGAATTTAAGAGTAAAATAAAATTTATAGGTTGTTCTTTGGTAAGGATTTAGTCCTTAAAGATAAAATGAAGTAGTTGGATTATTGGCATATTTTAATAATTCAAAATTTTTAGGCCTAACTGAATACTGAATTAAGAAATACAAGTCTTAAAAATATCAAAGGCAAGAAAGGGAACATGGAGTTTAGTTTAGTTTTTTAAGGTATAAAAGTATCTGGCATATAGCATTAAAGTAAGCTAAATCTGTCTTTCAGAGCAACTCTGGACATTTATTGGCTGGTTCATGATGGTGGCCAAAAAATTCTAATGTAATGGTTTGAATTTGTTTTAACAGGAGAGCTAGTGGCTCTGAAGAAGGTGAGACTGGACAATGAGAAGGAGGGCTTTCCAATCACAGCCATTCGTGAGATCAAAATCCTTCGTCAGCTAATCCACCGAAGTGTTGTTAACATGAAGGAAATTGTTACAGATAAACAAGATGCACTGGATTTCAAGAAGGACAAAGGTACACAAGGAATCATGTTTCTGCAGAGTAGATTGGTGCATCTTATTTTCTTTTTTTAGCTTGTTTGCCTGTTTGAATTTTTTCTGAAGCACAGAAGTCCAACTTCTTGAATCCATACCAGAGTTAAGATACTAGTTTTGAAGTCTCTTTTTTTTTTTTTTGTTTTTCTTTTTCTTTTACACATTATAACAATAATGGAAATTAAACCCAGATTTATCAGTTACTCTTTTTTTTTTTTTTTTCTAAAGTAGGCTCCACACCCAGGATGGAGCCCAAACAGGCCATGAAATCATGACTCTGACATCAAGACCTGAGCTGAGGTCAGGAGTTGAACACTTAACTGAGCCACCCTGGTGCCCCTATTATTATTATTTTTAAAGTAAGCTCTATGACCAATGTGGGGCTTGAACTCAAGACACCAAGATCAAGAGTCACATGTTCTACTGACTGAGCCAGCCTGGCATCAATTAGTTATCAGCTTAAAAAATATACTAGCTCTGCATTGAGCATCTTTGTTCATAAATCTTTGCATTTTGATTTCATTCTTTTTTTTTTTTAAGATTTTATTTATTTATTTATGAAAGAGACATAGACAGAGGGAGAAGCAGTCTCCATGCAGGAAGCCTGATGTGGGACTTGATCTCGGGACTCTGGGATCACACCCTGAGCCAAAGGCAGATGCTCAACCACTGAACCACCCAGGCATTTTGGTTTGTTTCCTTCCTTCCTTCCTTCCTTCCTTCCTTCCTTCCTTCCTTCCTTCCTTCCTTCCTTTCTTCCTTCTTCCTTCTTCCTTTTTCCTTTCTCTTTCTTGTTTATTTCTTAATGTAGTTTCTTAGAAGTAGAATTATTTGGTTAAAAGGATTTTTATATTTAATGTTAGATTGCTTTTAAGATAGTAATTATGTCCACCTGTGAGTACCATTCCACTTTATCCTAAAATTGAGTACATCTTTAAAAAAAAAAAAAGATTTTATTTATCTATCTATTTGAGAGGGACAGTGAGAACACAACTAGTGAGATAGAGTGGAGGGACAGAGGGAGAGGGAGAAGCTGACTCTCTACTGAGCAAGGAGCATAATGCAGGGCTCAGTCCCAGGACCCTGGGATCATGACCTGAGCCAAAGGCAGATGCTTAACCGACTGACCCAACCACGCACCTTTTAGGTTCAGTACATCTTTTTTAAGATTGTCATTTTGATAGATAAAGTATGACATTATTTTGGATTGCATTCTTTGTTACTTTTGAGTTCTTTTCCATGTTTGCCAGTTTTACTTATTTTCTTTGAGTTGTGTTTTTGTGTCCTTTGCTTATCTTTTGCAGTTTTGAGGTTTTTCTTGTTAATTTATATGAGCTCTTAGCTAAATCTAAGGTACTCCATTAATGCAATGGCCCTTAACTTTGGGGTGTTAGGGACCTCTTTAAACATCTTATGGATCAGGATCCCTGGGTGGCGCAGCGGTTTGGCGCCTGCCTTTGGCCCAGGGCGCGATCCTGGAGACCCGGGATCGAATCCCACGTCCGGCTTCCGGTGCATGGAGCCTGCTTCTCCCTCTGCCTGTGTCTCTGCCTCTCTCTCCCTCCCTCCCTGTGTGTGACTATCATAAATAAATAAAAATTAAAAAAAACATCTTAGGGATCTATGCTTTAAAAAAATAAGTTCAAAATGTTGCATATTGTGTGTTTAAAATGTTACATTGCCATTTCAGGGAGTTCAAGGAATCCTTGAAGCATACTCTCTAAATTAAGAATCCTTGCCTTTATGTTGATAGGAGACAGAATTCTAGACTGGAGAGAGAATTGTCTAACCTAGGTCTAGTATTGCTTATGTTACAATATTTGCTTTTGTCATACACCTTGTTGAGGTGGAAAGGTAGCATGGATTTCAAGTCTTTTACAATTCTCTTAGCATAGTTACCTTTTATCTACTTCTAAATTTAGGGAGTTTCTTTAGATGGTTCACCTTTCTTTCAATTCTTAAATACTATGAATTTCACCAATAATTTATACTAATTTGCCAACTGACTTAGATTGTAAAAGAATAGTAATACAACTTGATCAGAGCAGTTGTTCTCCTTAAGAAGTAAATAGTCCGGGGATCCCTGGGTGGCACAGCGGTTTAGCACCTGCCTTTGGCCCAGGGCGCGATCCTGGAGACCCGGGATCGAATCCCACGTCGGGCTCCCAGTGCATGGAGCCTGCTTCTCCCTCTGCCTATGTCTCTGCCTCTCTCTCTCCCTCACTGTGTGCCTATCATAAATAAATTAAATTTAAAAAAAAAAGAAGTAAATAGTCCAAAGAGCATTGGGTTAAGAGTGAGAAGATTAATTAACATAGTTCTGTTATTTATTATTAGAAAGGGCAAGTTCTTCAAGTACTCTGAGTTTTAACTTCCTCGTCTATAGAATTAAGCAGTTGTTTAAGAAAGCCTTATGGCCCACTCCAAAATTACATTAAAATCTGAGGCATGGTCATTTCAGCATCCTTTTCCTCTTGTTTTTAATTTTTTCTTTCATTTTTATTTAGGTGCCTTTTACCTTGTATTTGAATATATGGACCATGACTTAATGGGACTGCTAGAATCTGGTTTGGTGCACTTTTCTGAGGACCATATCAAGTCGTTCATGAAACAGCTAATGGAAGGATTGGATTACTGTCACAAAAAGAATTTCCTGCATCGGGATATTAAGTGTTCTAACATTTTGCTGAACAACAGGTAACATAGTAACCAAATGAGGTTAAGCATTTTCTCTCTCTCTTCTGACCCAGTTAGTTTCAGCTATTTAATTGAAGTTACAGGTAGACCCAATGATGCAATTTTTTGTATTTACATATATCTGATATTTGTCCTGTGGGAACAGCTTATGATGGGGTACTCTGATGCACAGAGTCTTCAGTCTCTGTGTTGGTAAGGAATTAACAGAGGTAGAATTGTAAAGGTATTTTATTTTATTTTATTTTTTAATTTATTTTTCTAAGATTTTATTTATTCATGAGAGACAGAGGCAGAGGGAGAAGCAGGCTCCAGGTAGGGAGCCCAATGTGGGACTTGATCCCTGGACTCTAGGATCACACCCTGAACCAAAGGCAGAAGCTCAACCACTGAGCCACCCAGGCGTCCCTGTAAAGGTTTTTTAACTGCAAACATTTTAGGGAATCACATCCCACAGGAATATTCATAGAGTTTTTTGCCATAGTTGGTAAATATTATTGTGGTCCTTGACAAATTAAAACACACATTGAATTCTAAGTGAAATTCTCCCTTGTTTAGTGGCGAGAAACATGCCTGCTCTTACAGCTGCTCTTTTTTTTTTTTTTTTTTTTAATTTACGATAGTCATACAGAGAGAGAGAGAGGCAGAGACACAGGCAGAGGGAGAAGCAGGCTCCATGCACCGGGAGCCCGACGTGGGACTCGATCCCAGGTCTCCAGGATCGCGCCCTGGGCCAAAGGCAGGCGCCAAACCGCTGCGCCACCCAGGGATCCCTCTTACAGCTGCTCTTGAGAATTTGATAAAGTTATCAAATTTCAGAGTAAACACAGGTGTAGCTGGTGGTTGACCTTTCTGCCAAGCATTTACTCCCTGGTTTTTTTTTTTTTTTTTCCTCCCTGGTTTTGATAGTGTAAACAGACGAGTTTGGTGATGAGCAGTGTTAAATCTTCAGAAGTTTTTAACTATTTTCTTCTTCTCTGGCTGTTTACCTAAACTACATTGATGATATCAAGTGTATTATGTACACTAGTCTTTGGTAAATAGCCCTACCTGTTGAGGAATAAAAAGAAAGTCTTATGCTATTAAAGTCATACCAGTATTTGGTTCTTTAGATAACTAGGCTGTTTATAGCCACCTTTGTCTGATTCACCCATTGTTTTGTACATTTCTGTTCAGTTAATTTAACAAATACTATCTAGATAGAGCTATAGAATGATTATGACATTTTTCCATCTTTGTAGAGTGAGGTAGCCAGCCATCCAGAGTTGCCCAGGGACTGTCCCACTTATTTAACCCACTTATTTAAGTGGGTTTTGTGTGTGTGTGTGTGTGTGTGTGTGTGTGTGTGTGTGTGTGCGCGCTTTTGTTTTGTTTTGTTTTATTTTTTGAGGAAGAGCAAGCAGGGAGGGGAAGGGGCAGAGAGAGATTCCATGGGCAGGCTCCATGCACAGCGCTGAGCCCAATACAGGGCTCAATCTCACACACTGAGATCATGACCCAAGCTGAAATCAAGAGTTAGACACTTAGTTAATTGAGTAGCCACGCAGGTGCCCCCAAAGATTTTTTATTTTAATTTATTTTATTTTTATTTTATTTTATTTTATTTTTTAAAGATTTTATTTATTTATTCATGAGAGACACAGAGAGTGAGAGGCAGAGACACAGGCAGAGGGAGAAGCAGGCTCCATGCAGGGAGCCCGACGTGAGACTCGATCCCGGGTCTCCAGGATCATGCCCTGGGCCAAAGGCAGGCGCTAAACCGCTGAGCCACCCAGGGATCCCCAGATTTTTTATTTTAACTAATCTCTACAACCATTGTGAGGCTCAAACCCAAGAGTTGGCATGCTCTACCAACTGAGCCAACCAGGAAGGTGTCCTTGTCCTGATTTTAGCCCTGAAAGTCCCACATGGGATAGTTGGTCACTAGAAAGCTGAGTTTAATAGGGCAAACAAACAAATCACTCAACCCAGTAAATATTTATTAAACACTAGGCCCCTGACACTACTTTTTAAGTATTCTGTACCCCCATCGTGCGGCCCAAACTCACAACCCTAAGATTGACAGTTGCATGCTCTATCCACTGAGCCAGTAAGTGCCCCTAAGCTCCCCCTGGCCTCCTGCCTTTCTTCCCCCCCCCCCTTGAATCTGGGAGCATCTGAGAAGATGCAGTTTTGATGAATGGATAAGAATTTATCAGAAAGACTGACAACAGAGGGTTAAATTTCTAAGCAAAAGAAATTACTGGGCAAAAGCACATAAATATAAAAATTAACATGTTATATTGGGGAAAATGTAAACAGGTCGGTATTAGCTGGACAAGAAGAATGAAGCATAAAATGATGAGACTGGGCAGCCAATTTAAGGATCTTGTATATCTTGCTAAGGAGCTTACACTATCTATTGATGATAGCCATTGAACGGCGCTAATTTGATTAATTTTTTGTTTTTAAATTATATAGTTGGGGCACCTGGATGACTCGGTTCAATGTCCAACTCTTGATTTCAACTCAGATCATGATCTCAGAGTCATGAGATTGAGCCCTGCATCTGGCTCTGTGCTCCATGTGGAGTCAGCTTGAGATTCTCTCTCCCTCTGCACCCCACCCCCCACCCCACTCTCAACAAAAATAAAAAAATAAAAAATAATTTATACAGTTAATTTGGTAATATTTTAAGTTACATAGTTAATGCATTTTAAATTATAGGATGTATCTAATTATATGTATTTTATACTTAAATAGTTTTGTTGAGACAGGACATTATGTTAAAAGATTATTCTTGTCGCTGTTAAAAGATTATTCTTGTCGCTGTCTCTGTTATCCACAATTTTTGTTAAAGCTGGGCTTGGTTAATCTACATCCATAGTAATAATGCTTCAAGAACTTAATAATGGCTATCTGCTTAAAGGTTTCTGGACTAGAGCATATACTTTCTTTGGATCCTTTTGCTTCCCCAAGGAGGATGTCTCAGACCAGGGAATAACTGCAATCCTACTTGGTGTCCTTTTTGGCGGGTCAGGCCACTCCCTGTCTCTGACTTCCCATATTCAGGAAGCTGATGAGGTTCTAGACTAAACTGAACTTCCTCCTCAGGTTGCTAAGCAGGATTCAGGAGTCTTATGATCTAATCTGATCCATCCAGCCACTGCTCTTGCCTATTTAGTTCTGTCTACACAGAGAATACTGGGTGAGATGGCCTGGAGAAATGGTAAGGATACCTCAGCTGGACAAGGAAGCAAAAGCAGTTGAGTAGAGAGGGAGGAGAGCAGGGCTGGGCTCCCTGATATTCATTATATCTTCATTACATAAATATAAATGAGACCAAGTCATTTTAGATGGTGGAGAGACACAATTAGTCTTCTCTTTTAGAAAAATCACTAAATGTCACTCTAATAGGTTGTAGACTAGAGGCAGGGAAACCTATTACTACCATAAGAAATTGCCAGTGCTTAAACTAACCAAGGCATTACTAGTAGAGATGGACAGGATCAACTTGTGAATCAATAGACTTTGGTGAGTGAATGAATGGTAGAGAATGAATGAAAGTACTTTCAGATAACTCACAGATTTCCTTGTTTGTTTGTTTTTTTGTTTCGTTTTTAAGATTTCATTTATTCATGAGAGACACAGAGAGAGGCAGAGACATAGGCAGGAGGAAAAGCAGGCTCCATGCAGGAGCCTGATGTGGGACTTGATCCCGGAACTCCAGGATCATTTCCTGAGCTGAAGGCAGAGGCTCAACCTCTAAGCCACCCAGGCGACCCTCACAGATTTCCTACTTAAAAACTAACTAGCGGGCAGCCCCGGTGGCGTAGCAGTTTGGCGCCGCCTGCAGCCTGGGGTGTGATCCTGGAGACCAGGGATCAAGTCCCACATCGGGCTCCCTGCATGGAGCCTGCCTCTCCCTCTGCCTGTGTCTCTGCCTCTCTCTCTCTCTCTCTCTGTGTCTATGAATAAATAAATGAAATCTTAAAAAAAAATTATAAAAAAAAACTAGCTGGGTAACATAATGGTCAATATAGGTAATATAAAAGGAAAAGCAGGGTAGGCAAGTAAAGAATAAATCCCTTTTGGATATGGCTATTGCATATCCAAGGTAGTGATATCTAATAGGCATATGGTCACATTGAAGTTCCAAACTAGCAGTATAGTTTAGGAGTTACCAAGCAGAGAAAAGGTGTCAGAAGATGGAACTCAAGGGAATGGTCAGAAAGATACAGAGAAAATAGGAAAATATCATGACTCTAAAATAGGCGGATTTAGGGGTACCTGCATGGCTCAGTCAGTTGAGTGTCTTAACTCTTGGTTTTGGCTCAGGTCATGATCTCAGGCTCCCGAGATGGAAGCCAGCGTCTGGTTCTCCACTTCATTGCAGAGTCAGCTTGAGATTCTCACCCTCTCTGCCCTTCCCTCTGCTCACACTCCCTCTCTCTAAATGAAGAAATTATTATTTTTTTAAGATTTTATTTATTCATAAGAGACACACAGAGAGAGGCAAAGACATAGGCAGGGAGAAGCAGGCTCTTCGAAGGGAGCCTGATCCGGGACTCGATCCTTGGACTGGGATCATGCCCTGAGCCAAAGGCAGACGCTCAAATTGCTGAGCTACCCAGGCATCCCTGAAGAAATAAAATCTTAAAAAATAAAAAAGGTTTAAAAATGGTCATAGATGTCAGGTGATGCGGACAGATTATGAGATGTGAGAAGGAATCTGAAAATTAAAAGGTCAGCATTGACAGGGCATGACAAGTTGTTGGGTAGCACATTTAATGGGAAGGTGGTGGTAGGTGTGTCTTTAATTTTTATTTTTTATTTAAGGACACAGAAGTTTGAGTATATTTAAAAACTAAGGGAAAAGAAAATCAATAGGGAGAAGTTGAAGATTCAAAAAAGTATAAAATAATTTAAAGGACAGGCAGCCTGGGTGGCTCAGCGGTTTAGTGCTGCCTTCAGCCCAGGGTGGCATGATCCTGGAGACCCAGGATCGAGTCCCATGTCCAGCTCCCTGCATGAAGCCTGCTTCTCCCTCTGCTGTGCCGCCTTGTTCTTTCTCTGTCTCTCATGAATAAATAAATAAAATCTTAAAAAAAAAATTTAAAAAACCAAAATAATTTAAAGGAGCAAGGTTCTAGAGGAGATGGAATCAAGGCCACAGGTGGTAGTGGCCACAATTATAAATATTGATTATCCTTGAACAAGAGAGATTGACACTCTTTTTCTGTAATTGAAAGAAGAAAGGAAGATTATAGGTGCAATTAAGGTTATATAGGTAAAAGGGTGTTAAGTAGCTTCCACCTGATGATTTTTTTTTTTTTAATTTGAGAGAGAGAGGGAGACAGAGCACAAGTGGGGAAGAGAGGGAAAAAACAGCAGGGAGCCTGACATGGGGCTCGATTCCAGGACCCTGGGATCATAACCTGAGCCGAAGGCAGACACTTTACTGACTGAGCCACTCAGGCACCCCATGATTTCTTTTTTCAATGAAGAAGGCCATTTACTGAGAGGCGAGAGAGTGGATTAGAAAATTTGCTCAGTGCTTGGTGATGTTGAGGTCTGGCCTAATTTTCCATAACTGCGTATTTGTTGCCATTTTAACTTTCAGTCCTATGTGCCTTCATTCTTGGATCTTCACAAATTCTCAGAGTAAGGATGCTGAAAATTTGAGGATTGATTTATGTTTCATTATAGGGCTCAAGTCAGCTAGTCCTTTCCTTTTTCCTTTTTCTTAGAATTAGTTTGTAAATTGAAGTTAAAAATGTAATGGGGCAAGTAGATAAGGTGCCCATAATCTTTACTAGGAATGGTAAGGGTAGATTTAAAGTAAGATTTTGTTGCCAGTACTTATTTTGTTTTAATATTCTGTCCCATTGCTCATACTTTGAGGAGCACCTCCTAGCATAGCCACTTTTTTCTACTATCTCACTTTTCTGTCTGATCTCAGCTATCAGGTACAAGAGCTATCCCCAGTATCTTCAAAAAGAGAGGGTAGGCTTTTCATTCCCCAAGAAGTAATGAAAACGGTAAATGTGAATGAAATAGGCTACTTAAGAATTTAGATAAAAATGATTAATCTAAAATAGTTAATAGTTTAAAAAGTTTTCTGACATGTTATAGTTTATTAAAATATTACTTGACATCACTGTCAAGGATAGAATACTTAACAGAGCGACACTTGGGTGTAATCCCTTTAAGGTAGTGGTTCTCACAAGTATGGTTCTCAGACCAACAGCATTGGCATAATCTATAGGCTTGTTAGACATGCAACTTCAGAGGGATTCCTGGGTGGCTCAGTGGTTAAGTTTCTGCCTTTGGCTCATGGCGTGGTCCCGAGTTCAGGTATCGAGTCCCACATGGGACTCCCTGAGAGGAGCCTACTTCTCCCTCAGTCTAATGTCTCTGCCTCTCTCTGTGTCTCTTATGAATAAATAAAATCTTAAAAGAGAAAATAAAATAAATGCAAGTTCAGGGATGCCTGGGTGGCTCAGTCAATTAAGGATCCCACTCTTAATATTAGCTCAGGTTTTGATCTCACAGTCATGAGTTCAGTCCCTGTCTTGGGCTCCATGTGGGACATGGAGCCTACTTAAAGAAAAGAAATGCAAGTTCATGATCCATGACCTACTAAATTTCATCTCTAGGAATGAGGCCCAGGAAACTTGTAGTAAACTTTCCAAGTGATTCTTTTTCATATAAAGTTTGAGAACCCATCTAAGATCATGGTTGTATATCTTTATGGTATGGGAAGTGAGGGCCATATGTTGGTAAAGGGGACCTCATTCATCTTAAAAATCGTGTGCTCAGTTCAAAGCCGTGTTCCCTGTTTGAAAAGTCTGCTATGCCATGGTATTGTTGTTTACTTTTTATTATGAAAAATTAAGTTAAATTGTAAGAAAAATTTAGACACTAATGTAATTAATACATATGCAGTTAACATTTTACTATATATTTTTAATTTTTCTGCTTGAGTTATTTATTTTTTAGATTATTTATTTATTTATTCATTAGAGACACACAGAGAGAGGCAGAGGGAGACACAGGCAGAGGGAGAAGCAGGCTTCTCTCAGGAGCCCGATGTGGGACTTAATCCCAGAACTCTGGGATCATGCCCTGAGCTGAAGGCAGACATTCAACTGCTGAGCCACCCAGGCATCCCTGCTTGAGTTATTTTAAAGTAAATTACACAGGACGCCTGGGTGGCTCAGAAGGTTAAGCATCTGCCTTTGCCTCAGGTTGTGATCCCAGGCTGGGATCGAGCTCCACATCAGGCTCCTTGCTCAAAGGGAGCCTTTTTCTGCAACTCTGCTTGCTGCTTTCCATGCTTGTGTCCGTCCACTCTCTCCCTTTCCCTCTCTCTCTTTGCCAAATAAATAAGTAAATAAACTCTTTATTAAAAATGAATAAATCGGGATCCCTGGATGGCGCAGCAGTTTGGTGCCTGACTTTGGCCCAGGGCGCGATCCTGGAGACCCGGGATCGAATCCCACGTCGGGCTTCCGGTGCATGGAGCCTGCTTCTCCCTCTGCCTGTGTCTTTGCCTCTCTCTCTCTCTCTCTCTCTCTCTCTCTCTCTCTCTCTCTCTCTGTGACTATCATAAATAAAATTTAAAAAAAATAAAAAAAATGAATAAATTACTGACATCATTACGTTTAACCGTAAATGCTCAAGATTATTACCTATTATCTTCTAACAATTCATACTTTTATATATATATTTTACTTTTATATTTTTTCACTTGTGTTATAAGTCTTTTGTATAGCTAGTCTGTTCAAACCACTATTAAAGTTTATGAACTGGATTTGATTTTTAGGCTTCTTAAATCTCTCTTAATCTAGAACAGTTTATTCCTTTTTTCCCCAATAACAAGGATTTAATCTAGCAGGTTTTAGTGACTGTTGTTTGCCAAGAAATAAAAAATATTTAGTTAAGGAGTCAAATCAAAAAACACCAAGAAAAAGAAAACCATAAGGCTTTGTAAACCAAAGTATTCAAAAGAGGCTTAATCTGGGAGAGTAACCATTAAGAACAGAACTAAGCATAGGTTAAAATTTGCATTTGTAATTCAGATTTTTGTGATTTTGTTTAACTCGTAAATTCATGGATTGCTGTGTAGGTATAATTATGAAGCCACTGCTGTTATTTTTATAAAAATATTTTTTTGTTTGTTTTACAGTGGGCAAATCAAACTAGCGGATTTTGGACTTGCTCGGCTCTATAACTCTGAAGAGAGGTGAGGCATTCATCAAAATTACATGTGGGGGGAAAAGAAAAGAATTCTTTCTATTCTTGCATAATCTAGTATTCTATAAGTTGTAATAATTTTCAGACTTTCCTAATTTTTTTTTTGAGATTTTATTTATTTATTCATAAGAGACACACACAGGGATCCCTGGGTGGCGCAGCGGTTTGGCGCCTGCCTTTGGCCCAGGGCGCGATCCTGGAGACCCAGGATCGAGTCCCACGTCGGGCTCCCAGTGCATGGAGCCTGCTTCTCCCTCTGCCTGTGTCTCTGTCTCTCTCTCTCTCTCTGTGTGACTATCATAAATAAATAAAAATTAAAAAAAAAAGACACACACAGAGAGAGAGAGGCAGAAACATAGGCAGAGGGAGAAGCAGGCTCCATGCAGGAAGCCCAATGTGGGACTCGATCCCAGAACCCTGGGGATCATGCCCCGACCAAAGGCAGATGCTCAACCCCTGAGCCACCCAGGTGTCCCAGAGTTTCCTAATTTTCTAAATGTGTTAATTCTATCTAAATTCTTGAATCAGCCTTAGACTGAGTTAAATCAACCCAGATTGGTATGCAAGTTATTTTTTCATCTCCTACTTCTGTCCAGTTTACTTTTGAACTGTTAGATTGCTATATAGCTATTTTGACAATCCCATTTTCTTTCTTTCTTTCTTTCTTTCTTTCTTTCTTTCTTTCTTTCTTTCTTTCTTTCTTTCTTTTTTGAAAACCCTATTTTCAGTTGGCTACTATTTTTAATTTTACAAGGTTCTTTTTTTTTCTTTTTTTGGATCAGAAGCCATTTATGTCATGGTTAATGTTTTACATTTCAGTCGCCCTTACACAAACAAAGTCATCACTCTGTGGTACCGACCTCCAGAACTTCTGCTTGGAGAGGAGCGTTACACACCAGCCATTGACGTTTGGAGCTGTGGGTAAGCCTCTCTGAGCTTTTTCTTTTGTTTGTCATTCACATGTTGAACATGTATCTGTTTTCTCTCTGCATGGCTTTTTGTAGCTTTTCTTTAGGTTCAAAAGAATGGGGATAAACTTTTAGCCAGAATTCAGAGAAATCTGTTGAATATCTCCTAATATCAGAGACATACTTTTTTAAAAAACATTTCCTTGAATGCCTTTTTTCTTTTAACTTTTTTTTTTTTAATTTAACTTAGTTTGAATTGGGATCCAAATACATTCAAATAGGGTACATAGATTACAATTGATTATCTCAAGTCCTTTTTTTTTTTTTTTAAGATATTTATTCATTTATTTATTTGAGAGTGGAGGGTGAAAGAGCATGAGCACAGGGGAGGAGCAGAGAGAGAAGGAGAAGCAGACTCCCCACTAAGCAGGGAGCCCAGTGTGGAGCTTGATCCCAGGACCCCAAAATCACAACCCGAGCCAAAGGCAGACACTTAGCAACTGAGCCACCCAGGTACCCCTTAAGTCTTCTAATTATAGCTTCTCCCTCCGTCTTTCTTGGGTTCCTCTCCCCACCTTATAATTTCCTTAGAAGAAACTGGATCATTTGTCTTATAGTTTCCTCAGTCTGAATTTTGCTGATTGCATCCTCACTGTGTTTTTTGTTGTTTTTCAATGTTTTAGCATGGTTCTCTATCCCTTTTATTTCCTATAAGTTGTAGGTGAATTCAAGTGTGATTTCCAATCGCCTACTGAGCCCGAAACTACTTTACAGGTGGTTTTGAGTACTTCTGGAAGATTATTGCCAATGATACATCAAGTTTGGGGGTTTGAGGCAGTGGGACTGCCCAGAGTATAGCCAATAACTGGATACATCATCTGTAGGGAATTTAAAAGGAGTAAAATAGTACCTTATAATCTGCCTTTTAATAAAGGCATTATACAGGCGATTCTAAACAATGTTTGATAAAATATTCATCCCTAACAGAGCAGATTTACACACATACACACACCCAACTTTACATAATATACAATTATCAATATTTGAAATGTTATTAGCCGTATTAATGATCTACCTTCATTAATCCATTTGTGGTGGCTTTGTGATGATGATGATATATTATTCCTTCCTGGATAAAGATAACATCTATTTTACTAACCTTACATACAAGTCATAGGGTAAAAGCAGAGAGCTTTAAGTCTTTCATTTTATTTACCAGTTTTGAAGATAATGAGGTTTCCTAGTATCCTTCAAAGGTGACTAAAGAGAGGGTTTGGGGTTTTTGTTTTGTTTTATTTTGCTTTGTTTTTTAGTTTCATTGTGAACTTGTAGATTTAAACTTTTTTTTTTTAACATCCATCTATTTAGAGTGTGTGTGTGTGTGTGTGTGCGTGCGTGTGTGCGCGTGCACGTGCGCAGTGGGGGGTGGGGCAGAGGGAGAGGGAGAGAGAATCCCAAACAGACTCCCCACTGAGTGTGGAGCTTTATGTAGGGCTCAGTCTCACAATTCTGGGACCATAATCTGCCAGAATCAGGAGTCAGGTACTCAGCTGACTGAGCCACCCAAGTGCCCCAACATTTTTGATGTGTTTTAATCTGTTATGGTTATCATCTTAGTCCTATTCACATTTTCCTGGTCTTAGGTCATTAGAAGTCTAGTGGGTCCTTCTGACACAACCATAGTATTAGATAGCCTTCCTTGTTTTCTGGTTCCAAGCTCATCCTATTTTACTTCCTGTGCCAGACCTGGAATCAGTCACTCTCTAAAGAGTGTTAGTTTTTTTTAGTGGAAAATTATATTTAGAGATCACAATTTGTGTTAGGAATATAGACATTTTGGGGGCGCCTGGGTAGCTCAGTGAGTTAAGCATCTGACTCTTGATGTCTGCCCAGGTCATGATCTCAAGGTTGTGAGATTGAGCCCTACAGCGGACTCCACATTCAGCGTGGGAGTCTGCTGGAGATTCTCTCTCTCTCTCTCTCTCTCTCTCTCTCTCTCTCTCTCTCTCTCTCTCCCTCTGCCCCTCCCTGCACTTGCACTAGAGCACGTGCTTTCTATCTCTTTCTCTCTTTCTCTCAAATAAATAAAATGTTTATTTTTAAAATTTTTTTAAATTTTAAAAATTTTTTAAGATTTAAAAAAATTTTTAGACATATTTTATTTTTTAAGATTTTATTTATTTATTTATTTGAGAAAGAGAGCATGAGCGAAGGGAGAAGGAGACGCAGACTCCCACTGAGTAGAAAGCCTGATGCAGGGCTTGAGATCCTGAGATCGTGACCTGAGCCAAAGGCAGACACTTTTGTGCTGCCCCACAGCAGATGCCACCCAGCTGCCCCAGAAATAGATGTTTCAAATGGACCATGTTGTTTCTGATAGTGTATGATTTATGCATATGCACTCTGTCCTTGACCTGCATACCTTAAGAGTTCTGACATTTATTTATAAGTGGAGCATATCCTACCCCCCACCCCCCATTTTCTCCTATATTAATGTCAGTCTTTAAAAGGAGCACTGCAGGGGTTTTATTTCAAAATTCAAAAGGGTGATAGAGAAAGAGCATAATTTCTCTCCCAACTCAAATAAAGCTTTAGTTAAATTTTACTGACTCAAGCTGGGTGTGTTTGTGTTCTGGACTATTTGTTTTATCAGTATTAGCATTTAAATTGTCACAACTAGGCTCTAAAGTTAACACCCCATTAAGATACACAGGGAAAGTTCATAGCTCTGTTGGTACTATTATTTCAGTGTGTGCAACCTGCCACCTCAGTGTAGTAGCAAAAGTGTTACATAATAATGTCTTCCCCACCAAAGAACTAGAAACTGAAATAAAACACCAAAACATATCTTGGAAATTAAAATTATAGAAGATTAGACTTTAATTAAAGCCTAGTAACTTCACTGAAGTGAGATTTTGCTAGATGTTTGATGTGAGCTTACTACTTTGGTGATCCACAGAAGTCTCTCTGAAGGAGAAACTTGTAAGACGAGTACAACGAATTACACCCATATTCTGAAGCCTCACCTGGGTTAGTTGTGACAACACTATTTGGAATTTGATTTAGTGGTTAATGTTGGAAACAGTTAAATTTTACTTCTAATTTTTTTAATTTTAAAGACTTACTTATTTTAGAGAGAGAGAGTAGAAGAAGGGGCATAAGGAGAGAAACTCAAGCAGACTCCATGGTGAGTATGGAGTCTTAATCCCACTATACTGAGATCATGACCTCAGCCAAAATCCAGAGTCAGGCACATAACCAACTGAGCCACCAGGAGCCCCTACTCAAAAAAGTTTGAGTGCATAGGAAGTAAGAATTTGTCATTTGAGGTTAACAAATGCTAATAACCTTGAAAACTAGTAGATTTATTTTGCTTTCAAATTTAGTCAAGCTAAAGAATTTCAAAGCAAAACTGTACATACTGCTTTTGTGTGTATTTGAAAAACTAATTTCAAAGCACAGGCTGGAGAAGAGATTCTTTGTCCATTTTCTTTTTCCACATTTCAAAAAATGAGATATTTTAGGAATACAAAAAAGTATATTCATGTAGTCTTTTTCATTTATTTTAAATTTATATTGATATGAGGGGATAGGTTAAATAGGTGAAGGAAATTAAGGAGTGCATTTATTTTGATGAGCACTGGGTGATATTTGGAACTGTTGAATTACTATTTGTTCACCTGAAACTACTGTAACACTATATGTTTACTAACTGGAATTAAAATGAAAACTAAGTAGGTTGATTTTGATATAATTTCAAATTGCAGAAAAGTTCCTAGAAAACTACAAAGAATTTTAGTATATAGCCTTTATCCAGATTCACTAAAATTTTTTTAACCTTTTGAGGTATATAATAACTGCATTTGTTCAAAATATACAATTTAAGTTTTGGCATACCGTATACACCAGTGAAACCATCACCACAACAAAGATAATGATAACTTCCAAAAGTTTCCATGTGTTCCTTTGTTATCTCTCCTGTCCACACTATCCCATTCCTAGCAACAACTGTTGTGCTTTCTTTCTTTTTTATTTTTTAAGATTTTATTTATTGGGCAGCCCGGGTGGCTCAGCGGTTTGGTGCCGCCTTCAGCCCAGGGCCTATCCTGGAGACCCAGGATCGAGTCCCACATCAGGCTCCCTGCATGGAACCTGCTTCTCCCTCTGCTTGTCTGTCTCTCTCTCTCTCTCTCTCTCTCTCTCTCTCTCTCTCTCTCTCTGTCTCTCATTAATAAATAAATAAAATCTTTAAAAAAAAAGATTTTATTTATTTATTCATGAAAGACACAGAGAGAGAGGCAGAGACATAAGCAGAGAAGCAGAGGGAGAACATGGTGCCTAATGTGGGACTCCATCCCAGACCCTGGGATCACAGCCTGAGCCGAAGGCAGACCCTCAACTGTTGAGTCAAGCAGGCATCCCTACTCTTGTGCTTTCTATCACTCTAGATTGATTTCCATTTCTAAAATTTTATGTAGATGGAATCATGCAGTATATGTTCTTTTTCCCTCTTGCATTTTTTACTCAGCATATTTTGAGATTTATTCATGCTAGATTCACTAATTGTTAGCATCTTGCCACATTTGCTTTTATATTCATGTGTGTATGTGTGTGTACATGTATCCTACAACATAAAATATATACATAGAATAAAATGCATGTGTGTGTGTATGCATACCACATCTTTTTTCTAGAACTATTTGAAAATAGTTGTATATCATGCTCTTTCCCCTCTTAATATTTAATGTATGTTTTTATTTTAAGATTCTATTTATTTTTTTAGAGAGAGCACAAGTATGGGGAGAGGGGCCAGAGAGAGAGGGAGAAGCAAACTCCCTGCAGAGTAGAGAGCCTGTTGTGGGGCTTGACCCCAGGACCCTGGGATTATGACCTGACCCAAAGGTACCCGCTTAACCAACTGAGCCACCCAGGCACCCCTTAATGTACATTTCTTAAGAACAAAGATACTCTCGGGACGCCTGGGTGGCTCAGCGGTTGAGGGTCTGCCTTCAGCTCAGGTGTGATCCCAGGATCCAGGATCGAGTCCCACATTGGGCTTCTTGCAGGGAGCCTGCTTCTCCCTCTGCTTGTGTCTCTGCCTCTCTCTCTCATGAATAAATAAATAAAAACTTAAAGAAAAAAAAGAACAAAGATACTCTCGTATATAATTATAGTACCATCATCAAATTCAGGAAATTTAACATTGATACACTATCTTTTAAATAGGTTAGCTTACATTCCATTTTCTTAGTTTTTCAATACCCTGATAATGTCCTGGAAACAATACTTCACCTAATAGAAGATTCAATCTAGTATCATGTACTACATTTGGTTCTCATTTTTCTTTTGTTTTGTTTTTTTGAGTTTATTTATTTATCTTAGAGTGTGCATGAGTGGGAGAGGGAGAGAGAGTCTCAAGTAGACCCTATGCTAAGCGAGCAGAGCCCAATGCAGGCCCAATCCCAGGACCCCAAGATCATGACCTGAGCTGAAACCCAAGAGTCTGATGTTTAACTGTGCTGCCCAGGTGCCCCTAGTTCTCATTCTTTACTCTGGAACAGTCCTTAACCTTTGTCTTTCATGACATTTACATTTTTGAAGGACAGACCAGCTATTGTATAGATTCAGGTTGTGAAGTTTTAGGTGGAGTATTCCGTAAGTGTTTAAGGTACAGCATTTATATTTACATGAACCCGGTTTCCCTCTTATTGATGATGTTAATTTTGGACACTTAGGTATAGGTGTTGTCTTTTTCCTCACTAAATAGTTACTAGTTTTCCTTTTGTAATTAAGTAATTTGTGGGGACATGTTTGGGGACTTTGTAAATATATCAGTATTATTTTGGAAGGTATTTTCAAAATGGAAAAGGAGGGATCCCTGGGTGGCTCAGCGGTTTAGCTCCTGCCTTTGGCCTGGGGTGTGATCCTGGGGTCCCAGGATGGAGTCCCGCATTGGGCTCCCTGCACGGAGCCTGCTTCTCCCTCTGCCTGTGTCTCTGCCTCTGTTTCTCTCTGTGTCTCTCATGAATAAATAAATTAATAAAATCTTTTTTAAAAAAATGGGAAGGGTGTTTAAACATAAGGTATTTGAGGGGATCCCTGGGTGGCTCGGCGGTTTAGCGCCTGCCTTCGGCCCAGGGTCTGCTCCTGGAGTCCCAGGATCGAGTCCCACATCGGGCTCCTTGCGTGGAGCCTGCTTTTCCCTCTGCCTGTGTGTCTCTGCCTCTCTCTCTCTGTGTCTCTCATGAATAAATAAATAAAATCTTAAAAATAAATAAACTAAATAAATAAACATAAGGTATGAAAGTCCTGTTAAAACTGATGTCTGATGACAGTAAACATTTCTTAACAAATACAGTGCTAAGAGGGCTGTAGTATATTGTGTATTCTACAGAGCAAATAAATAGAAAAGCTAATCGCTTTACAGGAGCTGCTGAGCATCCTTATAAAATTGGAGTATAGGTTTTTAGTCTTCCTTAATTTATAATGGAATTGATGGAAAAGGACTGACTCATTTTTTCTGTTTATAGACTTTATAGGTGGCAAAAGTTTGATCTCCTGTCAAATCTTTTTTTTTTTTTTAATTTTTATTTATTTATGATAGTTACACACAGAGAGAGAGAGGCAGAGACATAGGCAGAGGGAGAAGCAGGCTCCATGCACCAGGAGCCCGATGTGGGATTCGATCCTGGGTCTCCAGGATTGCGCCCTGGGCCAAAGGCAGGCGCCAAACCACTGCGCCACCCAGGGATCCCTCTCCTGTCAAATCTAAACTCTTTATGCTGTCCATCTCACAAGAAATATTTTCTTTTACAAAACTCAGACACTTAAAAAGTAAAACAAAAAACAACCAAAAAAACCCCACAAACCTCAGACACTGCAGTTTGGGGCTTATATACAAAAGTTTATTGAGACACAGGTTAGGCTCCAGGGATTTCTCTCCTGACCTCTTAATTTTACTCTTTGTAGATGCATCCTCGGGGAACTGTTCACAAAGAAGCCTATATTCCAAGCCAATCTGGAACTAGCTCAACTAGAACTGATCAGGTACAGCTGTGCATGCACTCTGAGTGCCCAGGTGTAATAGGTGATCTCATCTTCTGATTTCTAATACTTTTCAGTAATTCTACTAAATGAGTTTATACTCTTCAGGTCCAAGTAAGTGTCTCAGTCAGATTTACCACATACTTTGCCACGGTCTCTATATGTAAAGAAGTTGTAGTCCCCTTTTTTAGGTCTTACTAAAGGTCTTACTTTTTAGGTTCCCCCCCCTTTTAGACTTTTGAAATCTTTGCATTTTTTAAATAGGTTCTTCATATAAAAAGCATGCCATTTTCAGTATGGCTGTTTCATTCCTCGGTTAGATTAAGATCAAATTTATTCAGCAAACATTTATTGAGCCTGTTCTAAAATTCCTTTCTTTGTTACTTTAGGATTCAGAGATCTATGTAAGATAGGTCCTTGTCTTCAGAGAGCTCAGTTTAGTAAGCGATACAGCATGTAAACAGATAATTATAAAATAGAACCTATATTAGAGGATTTGGGGAAGGCATGGGGTTGGGATAGAATTTGGGTTTTTTTTATCAATAAGAATAAAGGAAAGAATACAACAGGCTAATGTAGGCTTTTTTAAAGGTGGTATATAATTCATCATTTGTTATGCATTAAATTCAGTTTTCCAACAAAATTTCTTAGGCTCCCCTCTGCCCATTCTCCCTATAAGAACATTACAGGACCAGCTTATCATTGAATAGAAGAAAATTGATAATGAAAACTTTTATGGAAGTTTAAAAACATGTTTTACAAAACCAAATGTATAGATCATTTTGGACTCTTTTGCCAGTATTTTCTCTTCACTATCTTGTGACCAGTTAGTTCTGTCCTATTCCTTCTGCCCTTAAAGCAGTGAGGTCAGGTTTTACCTTTTTGTATGCCATGTAATTTAATAGCTAAGATTCCACAGAAGTCAGGGAGTAATAATTTCTGCTTCTATAATCTTCACAATTCACAATGCTGACTCACTTCTTGTTCTGGCTTTTTGCTTTGTTTTCAGTCGACTCTGTGGTAGCCCTTGTCCAGCTGTGTGGCCTGATGTTATCAAGCTGCCCTACTTCAATACCATGAAACCGAAGAAGCAATATAGAAGGCGTCTACGAGAAGAATTCTCTTTGTGAGTTTGGCAGAAATGTGCATCTGGTTTCTGTGTTTAGGGGGTGTTTAGACTTGACTTTTGGCCTAGAGAGTTTGTGTTATCCCAACTTCTTATAGCAGCACAGCACAGGAAAACATTTTTTCTTTGAACATATGTGTATTTTATCATAGTGCTGTTGTAATTTTCTCTTAAGGCCTTTTATTTTTTTTAATTTAATTAATAACCACACCCAATATGGGGCTGGTACTCAGGACACTGAGATCAAGAGTTGCACGCTCTTCTGACTGAGCCAGCCAGGCTGGCTTTAGATGATAGAAAATCATTTTATTATGCACAATATGTAAATATTCTCCTAGTCCTTTTGATCTTCCCATGATAGAATGGAACTGCTGGCTCCATGTTTTCTACCTGTATTCTAGCATTGCATAAATCCTGTTTGGTAGCAAATCTGTTTGCTTGTTTAGCCAGCTTCTAGCTCCCTTTCCACAGTTTTACATGGAGCTGGAAATTCAGAGACCTTTGACACAAGGTTACAGGTTTAAGAACTCTGGGGTCATTGTGAACTTGTTCTTTCCACAGCATTCCCTCAGCAGCACTTGATTTACTGGACCACATGCTGACTCTAGATCCTAGCAAACGTTGCACAGCTGAACAGACTTTACAGAGTGACTTCCTTAAAGATGTTGAGCTCAGCAAAATGGATCCTCCAGAGTAAGTGCTGCTGGTCAAGTAGTGGCCCTAAACCTTCCACTAAGCCTCAGGAGTTGAGAAACTCAATATAATAATAGGTTTGTAGAAGGGACTGCAAATGGCTAAGTCCAGAATGGAGTGGTGCCCTTGAGTATTATGGTTGATAAGAGGTTTGTTTAATTGCTTTATGTTTTCCTTTTAAACAAGGAATAGATTCAGAAGTGATGTTTTTCTAATTTGACTCAAGCTGTCTTTTGTCCCTGCATATTGCCCTATACAAGCTCTTTGAAAGTATTCCTTCTAGTGTTTGCTCTTACCCATTTCATTTGCTCAAATCTCCTTCTGTGTTGACCATATACATCCCACACTTGTAAAGACAGTCCTAATTTTAAATAGTATGCATCACTGTCAGGTCACATAACCCTAATTTTAATGTTGAAAATAGGGTCTTTGACTGTGCCTCTCTCCGGTCAGCATCTTATTTATTTTCTGTATTCTGTAGGATCTTCTGAGGTTCTACGCTCAGTGTTTCACAATTGGCAGATAAAAAATCTTCTGTCATTGAATTTATCATTGACAATGTTATAGCTTTCATGTCAGAGTTTTTGTGTGTTTTTTCTTATATGAAGAAACTCTTTTTTAAAAAAATTATTAATGAGAGACAGAGAGAGTGAGAGAGAGAAGCAAAGACATAGGCAGAGGGAATGGCAGGCTCCCCGGGGGAAGCCTGATGCAGAACTCGATCCTGGAACTTCAGGATCACGCCTGGAGCAGAAGGCAGACCAGACTCTCAACCACTGAGCCACCCAGGCGTCCCAAGATACTGTATGTATCTTAGAGAAATATACAGTATTTATTTATTTTTAAAAATATTTTATTTTTATTTTATTTTTATTTTTTTTAAATTTATTTATGATAGTCACACAGAGAAAGAGAGAGAGGCAGAGACATAGGCAGAGGGAGAAGCAGGCCCCATGCACTGGGAGCCCGACGTGGGATTCGATCCTGGGTCTCCAGGATCGCGCCCTGGGCCAAAGGCAGGCGCTAAACCACTGTGCCACTCAGGGTTCCCGGGAGCTCTTATTATTATAGAGAGATTTTGGCTTGGGTAATCTTTATTATAATAAGATTTGAGTTGCCAGGACTCTTTACATTATTGAATATGAGGAAATCTGGAAATAGATGAAATATATTAAAATATACTAATAAACCCCACAAATGAAAATACCAAGTCATGGAAATTCAGTGTGTTGAAAGAAGGAAAGAATCCATTTTTTGGTCCTCACAGACCAAATAACATAAATTTATTTTACACAAATGTGATTTAATCATACTGTATTTCAGTGAATTTTTTTTTTTTTAAGAGAGAGATTTTATTTACTCATGAGAGACACAGAGAGGGAGATAGCAGAGACACAGGCAGAGGGAGAAGCAGGCTCCACGCAGGGAGCCCCATGTGGGACTCAATCTCGGATGCCAGGATCACACCCTGAGCTGAAGGCAGATGCTCCACTGCTGAGCCACCTAGGTGTCCCTCAGTGGACTTTTTGTAGTTGCTAATAAACCAATCATCTCTATCCTATTCCCAATTGAAACTTAACCAATAGGGCAGCCCAGGTGGCTCAGCGGTTTAGCGCCACCTTCAGCCCAGAGCCTGATCCTGGAACCCCGGGATCGAGTCCCACGTCGGTCTCCCTGCATGGAGCCTGCTTCTCCGTCTGCCTGTGTCTCTGCCCCTCTCTATCTCTGTCTCTCATGAATAAATAAATAAAATCTTTAAAAAAAAAAAAAGAAACAAGAAACTTAACCAATAAAGTTCTCCTTTATATTTGTTATGCAAAGCAAGAACATAGTAGGTATAGTAGGTATGTCTCTGATATTAGAAAGATCCTTATTTCTCACTACAGAAATCTCTTGGGCTTTTGGACTTTTATTTCCTCGGGCTACCATATGCCATGATCCCTTTTACACTGCTACTATTTATTAATATTTCTGGCTATTTTTATGTTATTCTTTCCGTTTCCCTCTGTTCTTTGCCTTTAATCTCTTGTTCCTCTATTCACTCACTATTGCAGTCCCACACACATTTCCCCTTTGCTTTGTCTTTTTGTAGCCTCCCCCACTGGCAGGATTGCCATGAATTATGGAGTAAGAAACGGCGACGACAGCGACAGAGTGGTGTTGTGATAGAAGAGCCACCTCCATCCAAATCCTCTCGGAAAGAAACTACCTCAGGGACAAGTGTTGAGCCTGTGAAGAACAGCAGCCCAGCACCACCTCAGCCTGCTCCTGTCAAGGCGGAGCCTGGGACTGGGGATGCAATAGGTCAGTTCTAGGATGGAGTTTTTGTGCTTTTATTAAGGTCATTTGGACAGGTTTTAATGGTCAAGTACAAGGATATGTGTGTGTGAGCTTTTAGCCACTGAAGCATTAATATTAATAAAAAGGTGTCCTGGGGATCCCTGGGTGGCTCAGTGGTTTGGCGCCTGCCTTCACCCCAGGGCATGATCCTGGGTCCCAGGATGAGTCCCGACCACATCGGGCTCCCTGCATGGGGCCTGCTTCTGCCTCTGCCTGTGTCTCCGCCTCTCTCTCTCTCTCTCTCTCTCTCTCTCTCTCTCGCTCGCTCACTCGCTTGCTCGCTCCCTCTCCCCCCCGCCATGAATAAATGAATAAAATCTTTTTAAAAAAAATAAAGAGGTGTCCTCATTGTGAGGAAAAGGAGCTAAACCAAATTTTGTATATGTGGTCTAAAAAGCCTACAATATAGATTATTGTCTTTTCAAGAAAGAATACCGTATCAATTAGATGTATAGCATAAATCAGTAAGTTAAGTAAGCCAAAATTTTTTTTTTTTTAAGTAAGCGAAATTTAAGGTTTGGTTACCCATGGTACATGTAATTTGGAGCCCTGTTTATGTTAGATTTGATAAGACGTTCTTAGAATCTAATCATTTAAATCACAATTGCTATTAAATGTAATTAGTTCTATAGAGGGCTATTTGATCTACATATATCCAGAACTGTGTAATAGTGAACTATTATAATAAAGTAGTTCTCCTGTGGTACCATCAGTTTTTCTGAACTACAGGTATTCTTTCCATGGTTCATTTACCCTTCCCCATCCACATACAACAGTGGTTTTTAACAGTGGCTGCACATTAGAATCATCTAAGAAGCTTGAAAAGTAAACACTCCTGAACAATTGCCAGATCTCTGAGGATGGAAACTGAGGCATCTGAATTTTACAATCTCTCCTAGTAATTCTGATGTACAATAAGGGTTGTAAGTCACTGGCCTTGAAGAATACAGATAAAATGAAATCACTTTTACTCACAGTACAGAGATATTTTAGTTTCTGTATTTCTAAGTGAATATACAATTTGTCATGACAATTTGAGGTATGAAAAATGAGATATTCAAATAAAATTTCCTTTTTTGAATATTGTTAAGTTGCTATTGCCAGTTGAAGGCCAAGGTCCTTACCCTGCCTCATTCTATCCTATTGGCTCCACTGTCTGTCCACAGGCCTCGGTGACATCACACAGCAGTTGAATCAAAGTGAATTGGCAGTGTTACTGAATCTGCTGCAGAGCCAGACCGACCTGAGCATCCCTCAAATGGCACAGCTGCTTAACATCCACTCCAACCCAGAGATGCAGCAGCAGCTGGAGGCCCTGAACCAATCCATCAGTGCCCTAACTGAAGCCACTTCCCAGCAGCAGGACTCAGAGCCCATGGCCCCAGAGGAGTCTTTGAAGGAGGCACCTCCTGCCCTAGTGGTCCAGCCTTCAGCAGAACAGACAACCTCTGAAGCTTCAAGCACACCAGCTGACATGCAGAATATGCTGGCAGTTCTTTTGAGTCAGCTGATGAAAACCCAGGAGCCAGCAGGCAGCCTGGAGGAAAACAACAGTGACAAGAACAGTGGGCCACAGGGGCCCCGAAGAACTCCCACAATGCCACAGGAGGAGGCAGCAGGTAAACAGACCGGTCATGAATCTCATTGAGCTCAGGTGCTGTTGATCCTCTTAAAAATCTCTTTAACATTTTCTTTTTCACATCAATGGCCTCAGTTTCAGTTTTCTGTAACCTAGCCTACAGGAGAACATAGCATCCAGTGATGTATTTCTTGCCCTGCCCAGCTTCTGTTTAAGTCTCACAGCTTCTCAAAGCACCTTTCATGTACTGATTGTTTTTCCATTTCCTGGGAGGTAGGTAAGTAAAGCCTCTGTGTTCTAATCCAAGAAAACGACAACCATTGCTAGTGATACACCTTGAACCACTGTGTGAATGGTGGCCACCTAGTATTGGCACTTGAAAATCTGCCTTCCAAATAAACCATCATCAGATTGTACAAATAATCAGCTTTACTCTAGTGTAGTGAATATTCGATACCAGTCTTACCTGAAGGATATAGCCAAGAAAACTCTAATAAAATGCCATTGTTAATCTCCTGAAGAGTAATTTGGAAATGTTTCTAAGTAGATAACTAACACCAACATTTCTTTTCACCAAAAATAATAGTATATGAATATAAACATGCTTTTTAAAAATCTGTGTTCCTAAAAGAGACAATTGAATTAGTAAGTGAGCATTACATAAAGAAAAATCTGAGAAATGGAAATATGTTATACCTTGATCTGGTATGACAACAGCACACAATTTTATTAGAGGAAAAAAAAGTGTAAATTTTCTAATTCTGATTCACATTCTATTTGCAAAATGCTTACTTACCTCAAAGTGTTTTCAACTTGGAAATTTTCGCTGTCCGTGAAGACCCCATGAATTGGGGAATGAGAAGAACCACAAGGGCTGATGAGGTACACTAACCTTCAACTTTAGATTGTCCTACATTCACACTTCATATGGGATGGTGCAGAAAGTATATGCCTTTTTTCTTCTGGTATACAAATATATAAGCTATTTTTCACATGCAAAGCTTTTTAAAACTGGAAGATAACGTAAATAAAATTAACCCCTTTACTTTACAGATGGGGAAACTGAAATCCAGGGAGTTTAAATAAGCCTACCTATGGTCCCAGTGCTGGAACCATATTATTCGCAGAGGCAGAGATAGGACTGTGTACTTTTCTTAATGTTTCTTTTTTTAACGTGTTTTTTAATTCACTTTGTTACTCTGTCATATTGATTCCAATTGCTTTTAAGGGATTCTAGGACATGGAATAACAGAGAAAGCTAATCTAGAATTAAAGCAGGCCTCTTTGTGTATCTCTCATACCTTCCTTCTCCTCCCTACACCAGCAGAAAAATGTAACTATAACCAAAATACCTGGAGTCATTCGAATTAAATAGTATTGTGATTGAAAGAAATTCACCCAATAATTGAACCAACAAGCTATGAGCCAAATGGTGAGATTGAACTAAAATTAAGGCCTGGCCTGTGACCAGAAATTGCTAGATTTACTTTTCAAAGGGAGTAAAAATACCACTCCTAATTATTAGTCACCCTTTGATTATCCAGTTATCTCTGTCTCTGCTATGTTTGTTCCTCCCCTGCTGCCTCTTTTTTGGTCATTTTACTGTTCATTAGCACTTCCACCAGAGGGCAGACTGAGTAAGCCAGAGAAGGTGAAAATCTATCACTGGCTATGTTTCACTACTCTTTACTTGTCTGAGGAAAGGATTATGATTGAAATCTAATGAGTCATTTGAAGTTTTTAAGTTATTTGTACATTTCATTAATACCTCCCTCCATTAGTACAGACTATTAAGAATTGCCAATATTGTTAACATTAAATCTTAAAATAGTATGACTTCTGAAATGTGATCTTTATTTTTAACTCCTATAAGAAGTTTTATTTAATAGTTGTTTACAATCTGTGTGCTTTTCTACTTTGAGGTAGTTTTCATCCTCTCCTACATGTGAACTTGAACTCAACAATTAGTTCTACTGAAACACAGCTGGACTATTTATATAAAAGACAAAGTTTATGAAAAGTAGTAGAGCTGGAAGAATAAATTTAGCTTTGCTCACTTTTGCAGTTAGGCATTTTTAAAGTTGTTTGCCATTGGTATTAAAAAAAAAAAACAAACTAGTGTTTCATGTGTAGTCCAAAAATACTTTTAAATATAATTGGTACTGAGATATTGGTAGCCCAACACTCTGAAATCTGTAGATGTTTGTGGTCCAATTAGCTCTCCTTTTTCAGTATGTCTTTTTTTCGATTGTAAGTTTTCTATAGCTAATTTTTTGTCCTTAAATTCATTTTTACCTACCACCTAGTCAACCAACCAACTAGTCAGCAAGCAACTTGGGTGGGTACTATATACAGGGTGACCAACTCATCTCTGTACTATCCTGGTTTTAAAACTGAAAGTCAGCAACCCGAGAACCTGCTCAGTCCCAGGCAAATTGGGACTGTTGGCCACCCTACTTGTATGTTACATACAGCACCTGACCTCATCCTTCCAGGGCACAACGTTACAATACTGTGTTTTCAGAGTACTTTCATCTGCATGTTAAGTGAATGCATACTTTACTAATTGTCTTTGCAAAATATAATTGTGATAAATATGCTACCAAAATACTTTATAACTAAAAAACTATTTTCGGCTTGTCTGAGTAATGACTTTTATATCACTAGCTCAGATAATAAAGAATTGATTATATGGACATTTAAAAATATTCCATAGGGAACAGGAAAATCAGTCATTTGGAAGATATCCCAAAACATTAAACCTTTTCTTCAGCAGGGTGACTGCCAACTCTTTAAAAATCACTGTTCTGATTGTACTTGGTTTTGTATGTCCTCAAACTCACACCATTTTACATCTCTACTCTCCGGCCTTGGCAGGAGTTATCGGACAATGATTGCCATGCTTGGGCAAATTTAGCCAGCAGTTGGGTGGGGGTTGGGGGTGGGAATATGGGGAGTAGTTCAAGAAAGACAAAGATCTTTGGAAGACAGTGTAGTGTATAAGTTCAATACATTTCTAAATACTCAGTTCTTGTCACGGTCTCCAAGATAAACAGATGTTTATCAACAGCCCATTCATTTTGCATGACATTAGTAATTTTTTTCATAGCATGGAAAAAATGAAGGAGGTTGGGAAACAAAATGGAAAATTATGATAATTAGTCTTTATAATTACTGTAACATAGGAAGCTGAACGACAGAATGGTGGTTAATATCCCTTTCTTCAGAATGTGGTTATGGGAAGAGGGAACTAAAGTTTGGAGAAGCAAGTGTGTATTTATACATGATGGTAATGAAAGGTTTTTACTTAATTTCATTTCTCCTGTATATTCTTTAAGTTCTATTTTAGGTGTTAACCGTATATCATTAAAATGTTCTGTAAAATGTATTAGCTAAGTCTATGCAAGGTCTCCTATTGTACAGCAAGATTATGTGCTAGAAATGTGACCACAACATGTGTATTATTTCCTCTCATCTTCCTTCTTTCTATTTTATTTTCATTAATATTTTGATCCAACAGCAAAAAGGGGCAGGGAGGCTGCCAGCAGCCTACATATTAGAACAGTTCCTTAAGGAAGGAAATGGAGGAAATCTCAGACAAAAATCAGGACAATCATTTGAAACATGATCTTTTTTACACCAGCTGTTAGATTCAGAATGCAACTGTTTTATTTTAATCACTTGATTTTATTTATAAATTGCAATTTCCTGGTCCCAAGATTTTATTCTTTATATATATATTTGGTTACTTGTATTGACATTTGTTTATGTTGGGCAGTGTGTGTGTGTGTGTGTGTGTGTGTGTGTGTGTTTATAATCACATGTGATTTTTAAGATGGTGTTTAAAAGAAGTAACCCTTCCACAGCATGTCCTCCTCACATTCTTCCACCAGAGAAGAGGCCCCCTGAGCCCCCCGGACCTCCACCGCCGCCACCTCCACCCCCTCTGGTTGAAGGCGATCTTTCCAGCGCCCCCCAGGAGTTGAACCCAGCCGTGACAGCCGCCTTGCTGCAACTTTTATCCCAGCCTGAAGCAGAGCCTCCTGGCCACCTGCCACATGAGCACCAGGCCTTGAGACCAATGGAATACTCCACCCGACCCCATCCCAACAGGACTTACGGAAACACTGATGGGCCTGAAACAGGGTTCAGTGCCACTGACACTGATGAACGCAACTCTGGTCCAGCTTTGACAGAATCCTTGACCCAGACCCTGGTGAAGAACAGGACCTTCTCAGGCTCTGTGAGCCACCTTGGGGAGTCCAGCAGTTACCAGGGCACAGGGTCAGTGCAGTTCCCAGGGGACCAGGACCTCCGTTTTGCCAGGGTCCCCTTGCCATTACACTCAGTGGTCGGGCAACCATTCCTGAAAGCTGAAGGAAGCAGCAACTCTGTAGTACATGCAGAGACCAAATTGCAGAACTATGGGGAGCTGGGGCCAGGAACCACTGGGGCCAGTAGTTCAGGAGCAGGCCTTAACTGGGGGGGCCCAGCTCAGTCTTCTGCTTATGGAAAGCTCTATCGGGGGCCTACAAGAGTCCCGCCAAGAGGGGGAAGAGGGAGAGGAGTTCCTTACTAACCCAGAGACTTCAATGTCCTGAAAAATTCCTTCCCTATTCATCCTTCCATCCAGTCCTCTGAAATATTAATGAAATCATTTGCCAGAGCAAGGTAATCATCTGCATTTGGCCTCTGCAAAGCTGTCTGTTGTATTCCTTGCTCACTTGCTACTAGCAGGCGACTTATAAAATAATGGTGTTGGCACCAGTTCCCCCTGGATGGGCTACAACTAGAACAATTACTTCAACTCTACCTAGTAGTTATAAGTAGAGAATGTGGAGAGGGTCATTAAATTGAAAAGTAAATGTATTAGTTCATTTGCCTGCACTTCTTGAGCAGAAGAAAAGGAGAACAGTTTCAATTTTGAGATGGCTCAGGAGAGGCTCTCTTTAGGTTTTTAAATTTTGGGGATTTTTTTAATGATTTCTTTTGAATTTTGTTTTTTGTTTTTTTGTTTTGTTTTCCTTTAAAGATAATAGTGTTCACAAAATTTGAGCTACTCTTAGGCTTTTGCTGTAAGGGAAACAGAGATCCTGGCTGATTTAAATAAATGTTTCCTTCCTCTCCACCATCTCACAATTTTGCTTTCAAGTGAACTCTTTTTTTCCCCCATTGAGCATCTTGAACATCCCTTTTTTCCAAATAAATTACTCACTCTTAAAATTTGCTCTGCTTTGACAAAGACATGCCCCTCTCCCTGCACATGAAGCAGGTTGTAGAAAGAGGCGCTCTTGGGCATGTAGGTAGATTTACCCCATCTCATCCCTTTTCTATCCCTTCTTTATAGAGTTTCTCATTCTCTCTCTCTCTCTCTCTCTCTCTCTCTCTCTCTCTCTCCCGCTCCATCTCTCTCTCTCTCTCTCTCTCTCTCTCTCTCTCTCTCTCTCTCTCTCTCTGTCTCGAGGCATTTGTTTGGAAAAAATTAATCGTTGAGATGCCCAAGAACCTGGGATAATTCTTTACTTTTTTTTGAAATAAAGGAAAGGAAATTCAAACTCCTATATTGTTCTCTGTAACTTTTCAATTCTAAAATGTTTTTGTTTTTTTAAAACCATATTCTGATGGTGAAGTTGTTTCATAAATGCAGACAGCCTAGGACATTGCTGTTGAGCTGGGGTTAGAGATGATGCCTCCATAATTAGAGGGCTAGTAAGAGCAGTTAGCATACTGTTTACACATATATTTTTATGTAAAAAAAAAAAACTTTGAAACAGAGGATTGTATTATTGTCAAAGAGAAAAGAAATACATCCTGAAAATACATGGAAATGTAAGTTAGTTTAGGGTGCATATTTTTCTGAAGATCTATTCAATATGAGACCTTTTTTAAAAAATAATTTTAAAAGAACAGACCATGAGAAAGAACAGTATTGACATATACACATCTCAGCATGTATATCCTGCTAGTTCTTTTAGGGAGTTTCCTCTAGAGAGATTTGATTTTGGTTTTGTTTTTGGTAAAAGGGGTTAAATTATGACTTCATGGCAAGAATTTTGCCTTATTATATAAGCAGGAAATGGAAAAGGGAAGGGCTTTCAGGGTGGGATAACTTGGGAGGCTTTTCATTCTGGCTTCCATTTCTATGTGAATACCAGCATATAATGTGTTTTAAAAACATACACATTCATATAAATTATCTGCACAGACTTAGACCTTTGTGAAACGTAGATTAGGGCCCTTTTACAGAGAAAAGGCAAACATGCTTCAGCATCTTGGAGGATAGTTTTCAGAACTCAAGTGAAGTTTCATGTTTCAATGCCAAGTTCTTATATTAAAAAATAAAAACTACTTGTAAGAGAAAGGTGCACTAATAAAAAAAAAAAAGAACTTTAAAGAAATGAAGAATCCTCTTCAGATACTTAACATGAAGACTATTTTTCCCTGTTTACTGAAATAGGCAGATATCCGGTGTGTGTATTTCTTTATTATTCTCTGGGTTTTGGTCTGGCCTTGCCCTCATGGGCAAACATTAGAGGAAGAACCTTCTAGCCATTTTGGCATTGATGGCTTTTTATACCAGTATGTCCAATTAGATTTGCTAGGCTCACTGACATGCTATTGGAAAATTCCATTAAAGTTCATCTGAACCTTTGTCTGTTGACTTCTTAGTCCTCAGACATGGGCCTTTGTATTTTAGAATATTTGAATTTGAGGCATTGGGCCCTGATGATTAAAGACCTTAAGCCTGGGATACTTTCAAATTACCTATCCAGTAAAAATAATTGGTCTCCCATCAACTATAAATAAAATTCACTCTATATTTTAATTGCATTTTGGTTATCAGCAGTCATCAATAATGTTTTTCCTTCCCCCTTCCCACCCCTTATTTTTAATTATGCCAAATATTCTAAGTAATATACTAAGTCTCCATTCCCCCATCCCTACTACTAGGGAAGGGGGTGAGTGTATGTATGGGTGTGTGTATGTGTGTGTGTGTGTGTGTATGATCCCATCTCACTCCCTACCCCCTTTTGGGGAGTCTAGCCTTTACAAGAAAAAAGTTTGGTAACTTTGATTATTTTAAAACCAGAGGAAAAAAGAAACTCAAATAACCTGGAATCTGTGTGGAGGAAGAAAAGGTATTTGTTAATTTTTCAACTATGTTATCTATAAATGTGATAGAAGTAAAGTTTTGACAACTTCAACTTGACTGTTAGAAAATTTCAAACTGAATTATATTCAAAAGCAGTTTTTGTTTTGTTTTAGTTACTGTACCACGGGAGGTAATAAGTCCATTAAATACATTATTTTGAACAGATGAAAAAATCTGATTCTGTTCATGAATGAGAGGCAAAACTAGTTTGGCCATGATCATTTTTGTGGTTTTGAAAACAATTTTGTTTGACCCAGTTTCCTTAGTTTTTTCTTCAACTGTCCATAGTAGTGATAAAATGACATCAATCTATACTTTTAAAAGCAGGGCAGTAGCACAAATTTGTAAGTAGGACTTTTTTTGTTAACTTATGCCATAGACATCACCCAGCCACTTGTGTGTGTGTGTGTATGTGTAATATGCATATATAGTTACAGTACTAAAATGGTTACCAGCAGGTTTTGAGAGAGAATGCTGCAACAGAAAAGTGTCAGTTGCCACCTCATTCTCCCTGATTTAGGTTCCTGACACTGTATTCCTTCTCTCTCTTGTTTTTGCCCCACATCGGGTGTACTTTGTCTATGTACAGATATTTTGTAATATATTAAATTTTTTCTTTCAGTTTATAAAAATGGAAAGTGGAGATTGGAAAATTAAATATTTCCTGTTACTATACCACTTTTGCTCCATTGCATTTACTTCTTTACCTGTAGCCTCTGAGCAAATCTAATAGTGTGTAAAAGGCTTTTTCCTCCACTTTATCTTAAGAATTATTTGTCTCAGATTCTCTGTAGTCTCATAAAATATATTTAAAAAAAAAAGTTCTCAGGGTTTGAAGAGGTGCTTCAGAACACTAGACTAGGAACTAGAGAAACAAAAACGTTGGGGAAACCGTAAGGTAACTCTTTTTTTAAGTAGAAATAGTTACACAAATGATGGTGCCAAGCCATCAAAAGAGTTGAGCCTCATGTACCCCAACTCCTGAAAGGAGAGGTAAGTGGGTTTGGGCTCAACTTGGCAATGAAAATTGGTAAGAGGCTCTTTAAACCAAAGAATAGTCTCAAAAATAACCACCCCCGCCCCCACCTGTTCTTATGTTACCATGAGTAGGGTAGGCAAGGAGATTAAGATTAGTCTTCTAGCTGTTGAGATTTCCTCATCTGTTACTAAGCCAGGAAATGAGTCAAAGTTGTTTTTAAGGGTAAAAATCCTATTATCTTCAAAATCTTTCCTATTTTCACCTGAGGAGAGAATTTTATTCCCTTTTCTTTCATGGTTTAGAACACTGAGAACTAAATTTTCCCTTGGGTCTGCTGCAGTCCTGCTAGTTATAAGTAGACAGCAGATAAAGCCCATTAGAAGACAGAAAGGAAGTAGGAAAGGAAGGAAGATAGGTTATCAGGAAGTTGGTGGTGGGGTGAGCAGTCATACAGGTTAAAGGGTACACCAGAACAAGGAAATTAGGAAGATAAATTCAAATACTGGTGGTGAGGGTTGCTGACCTGTTTTTGACTCCCCAAAGTTTATGATGGTTCCTTACCTGTGGGCTGTCTTTACCCAGAAGGAAAATGGAGAGCTCAAGATTGTTCCAATTCCTGGAATCCTGTATTCCTGGTTAGCCTCCAGAGAAAAAGAATTTGGTTTTGGGCCTTATATACTGCAGGTTCATGCCTAGGAGTGTGAACTTCAACCTACTATAGAATATTGTTTCCACTTCATAGGAGTGGCTTCTTTTTCATTCTGGGCCTAAAAGCTGAGGACCTAACTTAACTAACATGGACTTTTTTCTCACAGCCTAGACTATTTCTAATTAGAAACCATGCTGCTTCAATATCTACATTTCTTAAGCACTCTTTTTAAGATACCAGACAGGTATCCTTAACTGTATGGTAAAGTTAATGCCTCAAGGTTTAACAGTTAATTCTCTTTGTGCTGGGATTTCTTTTGTTATTAAAGATTGCCCCATAGTTTGACTGTGTTTCAGGTATGGAGTTACTTTTCTGTTCACAACTTAGTCATCCTGAAGGGCTAGGTGGAAAGGAGGAAGTGGGGAGTTCCTCAAGTGAGTAAATATTCTACCATTCCAAGGGAGTGGTGGAACTGCTAATAAGTCTTTTGGTTGTCCTGAGAG